GAGACCCCCACCCCCAGTAGCCAGGGGACCCCGCGACCGCCCAAAGTGCAAAGTACCCAAGACCGCGTGTCCCGGGGGAAGCTGGTCCCCACCGTCAGGTGAGCGATAACAAGGGAGAACCAGGCCAACAGTCCCCCAGCCAAGCCAGAGGCATCCCTCCCCAGAGTGCAGGCAGAGCCAGCAGCCCCTGAGCCCCATAAACCCGAGGCCGGTCTCCTTCTTGGACAGGGGCCCAGCGCCCCCAGTCAACCACCCTCAAGGAGGAACACCAAAACCCACCCCGACAACATCGGCCATGTGCCCCAGAGACTCCCGAATGCCCCCACTGTGAGAGAGCCGGCAGGGGAAAGTAGCGGAAGCCCCACCCCTGCCGAAGAGGGCCCAGGTGAGGAGAGGAGACAACGGGCCCCCAGGCCCAGGGAGACACCACCCGCCCAGAAATGAGCAAAAGCCAGAAGCCTGAGTCCCCAGAGCCCCTGGTCCAGAGCACCCCACAACTGTCAGGTAGTGGAGCCTCCCATCGTGCCCCTCCCACCCCCCAAGCCCTCTGTGTCTAATGTGTAATTAAACTTGAGGGGTGGCCAGTGGGGGAGGAAGAAGGGCGAGGCCGCAATAAATCAGCTCCACCCACCAAACGCCCTGAGGCCTGCCCGCCCCCCAGAGTCCTAAGGGTGTATGTAGTGAGACATGACCAAAGGGGGGAAGGTGAAGGAGGTCATAGGGAGGCTAGAATGGTCCTCCCCACTGGGACCAGATTCCTGACTGGCCCAATCATTCAGTTCCATTCCCCACCCCCCCTAAGCAGGAGGACGCAAGGTCCCTCCAGCCCAGGGCTTATAGCAAGTGACGCTCTAGAACCTTCAGCACCCCAGAGTCAGTGACAACCCCGCCCAGCCCCAGGACAGGTCCAGGTGACCCATCCCCCCCAGCGCGCAGACCTGCCCCAGACCCCCACACACCCCCGAAGCAGCTCAGCATAGCCCCGACCCAAAGCCCAACAATCCCCCGCCCTCTCCGGGGCCCCTCCGGCAGCCCCACTGCCACCCCCCCCACCTCACCGTTCCCACACAATCAGGAGCACTGGTGGGGGTTGTGCCAGCTCCGACACGATCCAGAGGGCCATGACGCGACCACAAACAACCATTGACACACCCCAAAGCACAATCCTTCTCCACACAGGATCCCCGTACAACAACCAAGCATCCAGTCCGGGCACCAAAATCCAGAGGAGACACCCCCCAATCAGCTCAAAAAGGACCAGCCTGCACCCCCAACCCACCCCGTCAACCCACTTCTTCCCGTTCCCCCACCCCTCCAACAACCAGTCGCCAGACCCCTCAGAGAACCGAAATAAAATTATAAGGATGCACACAGGAAAGAGCCACTGACGGTCACCAGTTAACAGCCACTATGTTTTATGGTGCGCTTTCTTGTGGTGGGTGCCTCCGCCGATGCATTGGTAAAACAGCCGTCAGTAAAATGCGTGCTGCAGACTGAATATAAGACGGCGGCAGGTGAAAGTGCGACGTGTTTTCTGTCATCTCTCCCCCAACACCGCACGCACAAATGCCATAATGAAAAAAAAAATTAAAGACCCTCTGTTAGCCAACTTTCTGCAATAACTATGCTAGCTAACTACACCTGGCTAACTACAACTTAGCTAACTAAACTAGAAAGACAAACCAACAATCAGACACAGAGAGACATACCTACTGTAAGTTCTAAGTAAATGACACGATAAATTGGTTAGCTAGCTAACAACAATGTTTATCAGTTTTTTACCAATGCATCGGCGGAGGCAACGGTATCAGAAGTCTTTACATACAGTTCAACAGAGTTATAGACCCCCCACATCCCCGCGGTAAAGTAAGCGCACCATAAAACGTAGTGGGAGTTATTGTGTGCAGTGCGTGACAGGACCATCGACTGTATGATTGCTAACAGCGGATACGCGCACATTAGTTTCTATCATGGGTAGTAATAGCTACTCCTGCCAGACAGTAAAGTGTACTAAACTTTACAGTGTAGTGACAGCATATCGTTAGTGAACACTCCAGCCAGTCAGTTTTTGGTTGTCATGGTATGTATTACGTCCTACTATTAACCACAACCCCATTCTCTGTTTGAGATAGAACGTTAACCAAAAACGGCAGTTAAAACTGGCTGGAGGGGGCTTTAATATGATTGCTGATTAAACTGTCCAACATATTTGAGATGAGAGAACATTTTCATCCTTCTGCCATGTGAGTTGCTTTATGTGCGTATGCATGGTTCAGAGTTTACGTACAGGGCCGCATATTCTCCCATCAAGATCACAAATTTTTGCTTGGGAAGTGGCATATGCACGTTTACTGTTTTGTGCGTAGGCACTGTTTATAAATGAGGCCCCTGGGCTTTGATTCTGTGTGTATTTATATTTGTAGCATTGTTTTTGAACAGGGCGTACTTTTAGAAAAAATTTGTATGTATACCCAGAATAAACAGACATCAGAACATGGCTATGGACCCTATGGGCACAGGCATGTGCGCACTAATGAGGACAATAGGTCTAAGCTAAATAAGGCTTAAAAAGGGGTACTTTGCGATTCTCATCTAATACACTTTTTGTTAAATTAGGCAAATATTATGGGTAGGTAGCTCTCTGTTTTTCGTGTGCTCTGAAAAAAAATCCGGTTTCCTACACAGCCCCTGGGTCTGTAAATTGAGCACAAACAAAGCTGCTCGGAGCAAGCAGCAGGTGGCGGTGGCGCGATCGAAGCAGTGGGAGATAGGGTTAGCAATGGGATTACCAGGAGAAGGATAAGGAGCAGTCTACCCTGCCGTCGCCGCCAGACCGTGTGGATTTTTGAATGGGAGTGATTGGAACTGCAGACGGGAGACCGGTGTTTCGGTTTAACGGGTGGCCCTGTTAACGGGTGGCCCTGTTAACGGGTGACCGTCACCTGAATGCGTCTGTGGTTGTCGCAGATACGACAGCTGTTGGAAACAGGAAGTTCTTCGTCTTTGGAGTCATGTGTGTGTGTAAACCTGTCATGTACCACTTTGTCACGCTTTGAACGTTGCTTATTGTTATGGAAAATGTTGAAAACAGGAAGAGGGCAAGTTGCTCTTCCTGTGAATGACAAACATTTTCTCTAAATGTTCTAAATACACATATTTGTCTTTGGAGTCTGTGTCAGTAAACACGTCATGTAGAAAAACAATTCAGCTTTTTTATCACGAGATTCAAACTCAGATCAATGTGGGAAAATAAATCAAAGTCGGATCGATATTCCACTAGCCTATGCTGTTATCACCTCTCACTCCGCTGTCGGCGTGGCATAAAACAACTTCTAGAGCATACAGCCAGCCATCACTCTTTAAAACGGGAGACACAGATCAACTTGTGACCACACTGTCTGTGCTAACCAAGACCATGTACGTATTTTACTTGTTCCCTTCACAACCAAGCCGCCGTTTAACACAGAGTTGTTTACAAGATGTGGATGATATTTATGTTAGTAGCCTACTTAAACTTTTTAAGTAGGCTCCAGCCTCCTTCCTAGCTGCCGGAAAGGAGCGGCTCCGCCCACCAACAATGAGGAGGAGAGGGCCTCCAGCAGCGCCTCGGTACATAACCCCACCTCCACCCGCTCCTCTGTGCAAGGACAACCTAAATCTGCGTCTTGTTCTTTAATTGGTCTGTTTCAAAACTACAACGGAAAATTTGATATTTGTGAAACCAGGAAGCAGCTTGTGTCTTCACCAACCAGGAACCTCCAGGTTTGAAAACTGAAGCCTCAAACCTGCGCCTCTCTAAAGGCCAGCAGAGGGCGACTCCACTGGATCGTATAGAAGTTTCTGAGAAAATGTAGCTACTTCTCAGCTGATTTATTACCTGAGTAACCACTTTCCTAATGAGTTTATGGTCTCAGTCGCTAGTCTTCTTCAACACAGCATGATGTTCATCTAGCAAATTATGGTCCCATTTAGAGGAAAATACACCAGAAAGCAGGAGAGGCTCTAGAGCGGGGCTACCTTGTGATTGACAAGTCACCCAAATATGGTACCCCATAGATGTTCAACACCTCTTTTCTCTCAGCTGGACAGGTCGGCTGGAATAAAATACAGCTGCTCGTTATTTTCTATAAATTGAAGTAAAAGACTTCCTGCTCAGCTTCCAGTCTGAAGGGGAGATGTTTGTTAACCTGCTTGAAGGTAGGTAGGTAGGTAGATTTATTTTGTCACAATATAACTCCCTTCTGCTATATAGCAGACAATATGCATTAATACAGAAAGCACATTTGTTATGCAAACAGTTTGTTGTAATCCTGCTCAGCTCAAATGTATGTTTTTGTTGTGTTTAGCAAAAAGAACTGTGGTGGATCCAATGCATTCATGTTGTTTGATTACAGACTAGCTGCTATGGTAACTGCCTGGCTGGGACTGGAGCACCAGTAGCATATTTAGTAGCGCCTGAATGGAAGAAAAAATCTACCTATTTCAAGCATTTTATTTTTTATCTTTATAGTTTTTTGTTTGTTTTTTTATGTTAAGTGATGCAGCAACAGGAGTTTCTCGCGAAAGATGACGTATAATGACGTATCATTTCCCTCCCTCCCTGGGGCGTTATTTTTTTCCCCACACCAGTTTTGCGGCAAGTCCCGCCCAGCTGTGCTGTGATTGGCTATTAGTCGTTCCGCCTGCTGTGCTGTAATTGGATGCCAGTATGAAAGTTACGGTTTAAAATATAATTATATTTTATTATGATTAATTTTTCATTATCGTCAACTTCAGTAGTGTCAACAGCGTTGCTCTGGTGTTTTTAGCGGGCTCTAACCCCCTTTTTGCAATAAAGATGATTAAAAAAAGCGGGATCTGAAAATTATTCGACTGGAAAACCGGTAGTGCAAGCATCCAATCACAAGGACGCATTGAGCACTGTTCCATTCACAGCACAATAGGGCGGGACTTGCCGCAAAACGGCGCAAAGCATTCATTCGCAAAACTGGTGGGAAAAAACGCCTCTCGGGCTGACGGCCTCTCGAAGTGTTGGGTAAAAATGGCGGAGAGACATACTATCGTGTGATTGTATACGCTGGATAAGTAACACGAAACAAATGCAGCTGGTTTAATATTCAGATGTCAGATGAGGATAAGCCGGTTTACTGTTCATGTGGTAAAGTTTCTGTGGCCCAGACAAAGGTTCAGACCGTTGATCATCAAAGTGTAGGAGGAGTTCTCCTTGTGCCGAACGGTCAGTATTTAGCATACATCACATCTGCCCGCCATGTGTAACGTTAACGTTGCTTGAATGTTTGTTAGTTTCTAACGTACATTTGCAGTCTTTGTCATTACAACACGGACCTACAACGCTTCTTGATGTTTAAAGAAACGACATGCTGGATCCAAATTTGTGTCTAACGTTATTCGTCGAAAGCCAACTGTAGTCATTAACCTAATTATCATTAGCAGACGATGGTTCAGCGAGAAACGTGATAAGAACATGAGAGGTTAATCATCTGTTTAATTGTTTTTACATTTTAACGTAACACACCGTAATGTTTATTTCTGATGGTCCTCCCTAATGCTGGCATGCTATTGCTTAATGTTAAATCCAAACAATGTGACGGCGACTTATATGTTGTGACTGAATGATTGCCCGTTGTGTCTGCTGGTTACTCAAAACATCACACGTTCACACAGTACTGTGCTTTAAACAATCCCAACTCTACCAGTCAGTCAGCCCTCGCCCAGCTGACTGGGATGTAAAGCCCTGTTTCATCAAACATACACCCAGCTAAAGTGACCATATAAAGAATACCTAGCAGCCCTTGAGGATGCTGTATTGGTGTTGACCTAACCTGATCTCTTATCTCTCTTTTAAGGGTTAAGCGATTGCTGATTGAAAAGTGCAGCACCGGTACACCATTACACAACTCTTTCTGATCGAGGACATCTGTTGCCAGCCATCTTCAAAGATGTCTGACTATCTGACCAGAGAATTCCAGGCCCAGCTGACTACAACCATGGACTCAGTCCTGAGGAGAACAATGTCTGAAATAATGAAGATCTTTGAGAACAGTCTACATGACCATCAAATGGCGCTGGCGCAGAAGGGAGAAGAGATTGTTCAGCTAAAAATAAAGTTGCAGACCGCAGAGATCAAGCTGAGAGGCAGTGAGTGTGGAGGTGACAGAGGAGCAGAGATGAATATAAGTAAGATTAATGAAATGCATAGAGATCCTGAAGATGTTCTGAACGCCATTGGACAAACTTCTGATGTTCCTGAGATTGACTTTGAAGGTATAATCTTTAAATGAGGAGAATAACTTAACAAAATATGCTGATTTGTACTGTGAAATATGTTTTCTGATTTAAATATAGTCAGTATTTTTTTAGAGAGAACTCTGTTTATTAACTGACTTGACTGTGTGTTCAAGACCATTTTAGTATTCACCCCAAAAGTGAAAACCGGTCTCTACAAGAGGATTAAGTACAAATACACATAATACACAAAAGAACTGATCTGACAAGTACTCTCACCCTTTACTAGGACACATTGAAGCATACCTGGTGTTGCCAGATGTTTTCAGAATGTGTTCAATCAAGTAATTTAATTTTAAGTTAAATACAACTGTCCTAAACCTTCAAGAAAATTTCCAAGGCATTAAATATCGCTCAAAGTACAGTAACCAGTATATCACAATTTCACATGGGGGTAGCAGAGAGAGAGCCTTTTTACCTGCATGCATGTAAATATCTTACTACATCATTGCAGCAATACGAACGAGTGCATTATATAGCTTACACATACAGCTTCATCATGTCTTTGTGTGTACAGTACCCGATGACTGGTGTGCTCCCCTGGGCTCCGAGACCGCGAACAAGCAAGAGGAGGGTGTGTGTCCCAGCATAAGACTGCGCCCGCTGTCTATTGCTCTGTGGCACATTCCGAACATCAAGCAGGAGGTGTGTAACAGAAGGGGGGATATCAGGATGTGGTGGCATCACTGTACAAGTTAGCATCATAAATCGAAAAAATGATGGGTAGAGCCTCCGGTTAAAAAAAGTCACAAAAAAGGCTAAAGCACTTATTTGCTCTGTATAGACTGCCTCTTTCATAATAAGCTGGAAATAAAATTCATCTCATTAATTGCTACTTATGCAGACCCAGTTCTGCACGTATGTGTTTTCTTTATACTTTGCATTGTTAATCATTGGAAATATAGCTAATAACATCTGTATTTTAGGTGGTTAACCGTGACATTGACTCCCACCAGCGAGCAAAGGGTTGCAGGAGATCGAAGAGAGGTGAGTTTCATTTTTGATTAATTATCTTTTGCTTTCTCACATCCACGTTTATATTCACTCATATTCACGTGGCTATTTAATGATTTCCAAGGCTCACTTTGTGAATAATAACTGTACTGTTATCCACAATTCAAAGGGTTGGTTCACCAAAATTACACAGAATGTTAGTTAGATAGTTTGGTTGCTTGGTTTTAGTCGCCCAGGTTTTAAGATGTCTATCGCTGAGATTACTGCGTCCACCCTCAATGGAGAAGAATTTTGTTTGTGGTGCTCACAGCTGTCAGTCAGGTTTGAAAAATTCAGGAGCATCATTTTTCCAGAAAGTGTCTCCATTACTCTGGATAGTCCACAGAACACTAAGTTTTTATAGGGACTATTCCTCACTAGAATTTTGTTGTAGTCAAAACTGCTCAGGGTGATTTATAGATTATCCAGAGTACAGGTTGTGATATACAATCCTTTTTACCAATGCGTGGAATCACAGACAATCAGCTGCAGGGTTGTTCACATACTTGCCTGCATATATTGTGGGAGGATTAAAAGGTAAATGCTCTAGAGGTCAGATTTGGGCCGAAGATTGCCTTGCTGACACGGCAAGTAAGCCGGCACGATATGAGGAAAATCTGCGATGTGTGATAACATTGTTCTGTATTGTGATGATGATATGACTTGTGATAAATAAACAAATATTGACGTCTGCATATTAGCTGCCTGGTTGTCTTTAATTTCAGAACAAGAGTATAATGTAATATTTAAAATACAACTGAAGTTATTTCTAGAGCAGCAACAGTAAAGTTTACAAGTCACTATATAAACTGAATAATATCTCACTGGGAAAAAATCTAAAGTGTCAATCAACTAAACCATATTCCTGACATCAAAATACTGAGTGACATTATCAGTCCGTATCAGTCCTCCCTGCTGCTGCTGTTATTCACTGCCTGCAGATAAAGTTACTGCTGGTAGGAGCGGCTGGTTTGTCTCAGCCTGCAGATAAGTTACCAACAATGTGCCAAATTTTAATGTCCATGGCAAACTAAGCTAAACTTTTAGGCTACAGACAGTCGACTATTGTTTGCGCTTCTTTGTAGCAATTCACTAATAGCCAAGCTTGCTCGCTAAAACACAGCGGCAGATTAAAATATCACTTCCTACATGTTTGTGTTTGTTAAGAGGTGTATTGTTTTTGTTTGTTTTTTTTTTTTTTTTACTTCCAAAGGTTTCATTGCACATACTTAGAGTAGAGCAGGGAAGAGACTTCAGCCTGTTAACAAATACTAATAATACTTGAGCCCTGAGGCCTATTTAATATTGCGTTTCATTGCCTATCCCTAAATACAATTAATTTTCTTCTATATCGCGTTTCAGGCAGTCTTATGCGTTGTTTATTCCGCCTGTTCAGATCAGTGGCAATGAAAATACGATTCATCGGTCTGCAGCGGTAATCACAGTATCTTCCCTGATAACTTTTGTATTTGCACGTTAACATAGCTAAACGTTGATGACAAGCCTGTATTATTATTGTCATCCCACTATTATCTTTTGTTTAGTTTATGTAGCTGGCCTTGCATCACCTAATAAATTATTATTCTAAATGTTTCAGGGACAAAAAAACTCAAACCAAACGATAAATGATGTTAAAAAGCTGACAGACTCACCGACACTAACTTGAGTTGTATCTATAATAAAAGATAATGGGGGGAAATAACAGATCATGAAAACACAAATCTTTCTAATAAATGAAGAAAGTTGTTTGTGGTCCTTTTGTTATTCAGACCTTCGATGAACACAGATTTCTAACTAAATGGGGAATCAGAAAACAAATCAAATAAAACATGCAAGTGATACACATTAGGTTTAATCTGTTGTGTCTTCACTCCAGTATGAATCTCCATTGATGTTGTGTTGCATCAGGTAAGTCTGATCAGCTGCAGCGCCCAGTTAATAACTGATATCCAGGGGGCGGCAAGTAAAATACGTCTGTCAAGGCTACTCTCGTGTGTCCTTGCTCATGGCTCTTCAGAGATCCATGCCTCCCTGGAGCACAAATAAGAGCTTTAGGACAGCCTTGAAGATGGCGGACCAAGTGTCCAAACTGTGTACAAAGTCATTGCTCACCCCTTTATACAGGTGTGAAGATTCTATTGGATATTGGTTCAAAACAACACACTACACTTTCCTAAGTTAACCTAAGTCATGTTGTGTCATTCGAGTCACATGCAACGCTTTCTAAAGAGAGCCAGTCAGCCTGTCTGTAATAAAACAAAGAGAATCTCGTTGGTATTAGTTTAGTCAATCAAGTCAGACAGGAGAGACGGAGTCTGACCTACTGTTTTGGAGAGTCACAGGCTCTCGGCAAATGATCTTAATGAAGGAAATATTCCTTCACTGTAATATTAATAACTTTCCATTAATAATACTTTTTGCAATGTTTTTTTCCCCACAGGTTCCTCATTAAACCAGGGGCACAAACACACTCAGGACGGAAGCTTAGCCAAATGTGACCAAGGAACAACAAAAACAGTAATAAGAAACGACATGAAAAAACTGCTCCTGGACATCAAACAGGAATATACTGACAGATCTGAAGGTCTCAAAAGAAGAGGGAGGCATTTAAGAAAAGCACAGCAAAATACACTGAAGAGCAAAGGAGATCAAAGAAATATCGCAGTAGCTGAGTCCAAGTCTGCAGAACGGGAGACGGTGAAAAGTAACCATAAAAAAAGGTACTCCTGCAAGTTTTGTGAGAAGGTATTTGACACAGAGTTTGGCCGAAGTGTGCACGTACGATCACACAAGAGGTGTCGAGGTTGCAAAAAAGAGTTCCCTTTTCCAAGTGCTCTTAAGAATCACAAACCATATTGTGGAAAACTCAAGAAATTGTTGACAAAAATAGCACAGTCCGCTGACCCTCTAAAACCTCAGTCCTCAGAAGAATCGACCTCGCCAAGCAAAAAACAAGTGATTAAGGAGGACAGCACGCCTTCTTCTAGCAACCACAGTCAATCATCTGTTCAGAAAGATGCCTACACCAAAAAGCACTCCTGCGTACACTGCAACAAGAAGTTTAATTCAATTTGCAAGTGCAGAGACCACATGCGTGTTCATACTGGGGAAAAACCATTTCCTTGCGACTTGTGCCCAAAGAAATTCCGTGTTAATCAGTCACTCAAAGTACACTTAACGAGAATGCACCAAGACAAGAGTTCCAGTGAGACTAACGGAGGACTTGCGTGGACTGAGCCTTTAGAGGAGATTGAAGATGATCAAGAGGATTTGATTTCTTCCAGCAAAGACACGCGTCAAGCAATCGATGTTCAGAGTGAACACAACCCAGACAAAAAGCCAAGTCGACAGTGGCAAACGATGGGCACACGCTGCTCTAATGGCTTTAGCTGCCTGTTGTGTCCAAAGATTGTGAGAAACAAGTACATGCTGACTGAACACTTTCGCACCCACACAGGAGAGAGGCCCATCAAATGTGACCGGTGTCCCGCAAAGTTTCATTCTAACTGGCAGCTTAGCGTGCACAAAAAAGGGGGCTGTAATCCTCTGATCCAGTGTGAGAAGTGTGAGAAGAACTTCTTCTCACGAACAAGGTATAATAAGCATGTGTCTAAATATCACAAGGACTGGTCTATTTTCTGCAAGTTTTGTGGAAGAGGCTTCGTGGTTGCAGGACGCCTCAGGAACCATATGGAGCGTTGTCATAAGTAAGCCCAGTATACAGCTAGCATCACCTTTCTGTGGACATTGAAACACTGGATGTTGTCATTAATGCTGGTTGATGGTGAAGATTCCCTACATATAACATGTTTTGATGGCTTAAGTTAAGCTGCTCTGTTGGGTTTTTTTTTTTTTTGAGATGTGATTTATATATTGATTTTATGACTATATCCGTAATCCACATTTCCTTCAAATATGGAAACAGTACTGTAAAACCAGTAATAACAAATCAGGTGACTGAGGGATTCTGAAAATGACATGTCAGCAAGATATAATTGGGTTACCAAATTAAAAATGTGTACTTTATTGAAAGTATAAGTAATGTAAATTCAATATTGCCTTAAAGCAGACCTGCTCTTTGACTGTAGTATTCGCCACAATGGTCTTAATACTACCTTGGTGGAAGCTGTATAACAATCGCTACATAAAATTCTGTTGTCTCACGGTATACAGTAAATCGCCAGATCCCCCTACCTGGTTGTATTTACTAAAAATCAGAGCTTGTGTTTTTTGGAATGATGTTTTAGCAGAATTGGAGAAACTGCATCACTCAAAAAGGCTTTCAGATCACCCCAGAGTGTTTGGTGATTTTGGAGTCAGACCCAGCTTTGTGATGTTGACTGTAGTTACTGGACAAAATTTGATCCTGTAAAATATCTCCTGCTACTTGACAGATATCTGAAAACGTTCCATTGTTGAGGACTTTTTACGTTCAATGTTCTGTTGAATTTTCATTTGATGCTTGAGTTCTGAAACAAACCAGAGAAGTGAGCATATTATGTCATTGTATTATGTCAAGTGTTTTATTTGTAATGGTTGTATTATTTCACAAGGACATGTATTAAAAGAGGAAGATGTAGTGTTACAAGCCCACTGTTCTTTTCTTCTTTTTTTTTGTCATTTTAATATAAGTGTTATGTTTTTAGCTTGTCAACATTACTCCAATAAAAAGTTCACATTGTGCACCTTGTCTTGCATATTGGAGTTATGTGTGTAAAGTTGTTGTACCACCTCCTTATTGAAGACTGTTTAGAAGAGATTGATCTGAATGTTTATCTATACAACATTACACATGTATTTTGAATCTTTGATGGTTTTGTTGTTTTTTCTGCAGTACATGGCTGCTGATCTGCAGTGTCCGACTCCTCTGCCGTGTTATCGCGAGACGTGCAACAACTATCACATCGCAGATACCTGCTAACCTAGCTGGACGACGAGTCTCCTCATCTTTGAATGTGATACGAGTGTTTTCGTGGATTTAATGTTAGCCATCGAAGATATTTGGCCGCCGACAATCAAGAGTAATTGCCGTCCTTCGTCTTTGGTTGTTTCCATTTCATTTACACAGTTAACTTGAGTGCTAGCTAGGACGGGCTTGTAACGTTACTGGCTACGCTTCACTGGCTCCCTTGTTTACACTTTAGCTAGAGTTAATGTGTTAGCTAATGTAACGTTACACTAGCAAACACCAAATGCATTTTCTGTTTACAACCAGGTTTCTTACAGCTAGCTAGACGTTGGTTACGTTTATGTCCTTAGACTATGCAAACTGGCTCTCGGTACGACACCGCATAGCATGTCATCACTAAATGATACCAGCGTTAGCTTACAACATAAAGCATTGACAGCATATCTTTACTGAGATCGCTAAAAGCGCCGCACAGGTTGATTATCAGTATTTGTTTAACCACAAGGAGATTGGGTTAAGAAAGGAAATCGCCGCGATAGATGGCTAACGTTAGATAGCATGGCAACATCTCATGGCAGTTCACAGATGCCTCAGTAGAGGAGTGTACAGTAGTAACCACATCGTCCCTCAACTGTCTGTGGAGGGCAACCTCAGAAGAAAACAGCGGTGTCAGTCAGTCGTTGACATTAAAATATCATCACTGAAACAAAGGACAATGGAGTCTGTGAGGAGTGCTTTCCACGCTCAGCTGGCCACAGTCATGGACTCGCTGCTGGCAGCTGCTGTTTGCGAGATCGCCAAGATCTTTGAGGGCAGCCTGTGTGAACAGCAGGCGGAGCTAGCGCAGAAAACAGAGGAGATCTCTATCCTCCGAGGCAAGCTGGAGAAAGTGGAGAGGAGGCAGAAGGCAAAAGGTGGAGGAAGCGAGGAAGGGGAGATGCCATCAGGAGACCGAGATGGTAGCTTGAGGCATCAGACCCTGACAGGACCAGGTAATACAGCTCAGTTGGTCTTATTCAAGTCAAGAGTTCACAGCAACTCACTTTGGTCATTGTCAATGTACGACAGATGAGTTAAAAAAACAACTTGTGGAAGTGAAATACATATATAATTGAAGTGTGGAATTATGTTCAACGTCTAGGATAATCTTGTATCCAAAGCTATATCTCAAACCAATCCATTTGTAGCGTTAAAGAACACTTACACAACTGCATTTTTCTGCCACAGGGCTGAATGTGGCAAAGGATGTGTCGTCTTCTCATTCAGACCCAGTAGATGGACTCAGTCAGAGCCTCAGCGAGCTGAAAGAGGAGGTCACAGGCCAGGATGGAGCTTCTGTAAAACATGAGGTCAGACCCTATCCTGTCTCTCCATGATTCAAAACTTGGCTGCTCAGTGAACTGAAGTTATTAAGCCTATGTGATTTCTGAATAGCCAAGGACAAAGTGACTTTTGCACCATGTCTTGCTGTTGGCTTTTCTGCATCTTACACACCTGTTGTACTTCTCCTCAGCGTGCTGGATCACGGCCTATCCTGGCTTCTGTTGCAGGCCAAGCCCAAGAGAGATGTCTTGCTACTGTGGACCAGAGGCAGATAGATACACAGTCTGCCACACAAGCCAAGGCAAAATGTAAGAGGTCATTCATTCTTCTCTCACTATTGATTATTGTAGTCAATAAAAAGACTATTCTTTTCAGTGCTAGAGCAATATGACCTGTGTATGAGTGTAAGGGTGTTTTGATATAGGTGGTGAAATGAAAGTGCATCAGTTGACCTTTTCCCCCTAATTTCTCTGCAGTGTCTCACTGGGATCAGGGCAGTCATGGTGCAGACCACAGACCCCTCCAAGATCAAGCCTCTACCCCTTTTCTCTCCATCTCCCAGAGCGGACGTTGCTCTCCCAGGCCTGACCCAAGCTTAGCTCAACCAGGGGAGTGGTTACCAGGGTTGGATGCCAGCCGAGGTGAGGTGTCTGGTCTGGAGAACCTGCAGGCAGATGGTTCTGGTCCAGCTAGCAGCAGCACTGGCACACCCTGCTTCCGACCAGGTTTTGGCTCTGATGAGACAAGCAACGAAGATGATGATAGCTCTTTCCCTTTTCTGGACCAGGAGCCTGAGAACCAGAACTCCAATCAGAACTCAGTGCAGGGCCACAGCGTGGGGCAGAGGGGGGCTCGGCAGCTTCAACCTCAGGCACCCTCTGGTGAATCACCATGGAGACCCCGAGACGACAGGGGTGGGAGAGGCCCCATAAATCACACACGGCGGGTCACAACTTTTGGCAACAGAGACCCTCTCCGACCACAGTCCAATTCACAGTCGCTCACGCTACGACACACAAACACTCTCAGCCATCCTGTTGCTCCTGGTGGAGGGAACGGACGACCTTACACCTGCCCATACTGTACCAAGTGTTTCACCTACCCCTCCCACCAGCGCAGACATCTTTTACGCCACACAGGAGTCAGACTGCATCCCTGTCAGTTTTGTGACAAGAGTTTTCTCACTCCTTCTGAGCTTACTGTGCACACTCGCACGCATACAGGCGAGCGGCCTTTTGGTTGCGCTCAGTGTGGTAAACGTTTTGCCCGCAGCGGGAACTTGAGAGCCCATCAACGGGACGTTCACATGGGGAAGAGGCCCTTTGCTTGTACAGAGTGTGGGAAGAGATTTGCTCACAGGGGGAACCTGAGGGTGCACAATCACAGAGTCCATCAAGGAGATCCCTACTACATGGATGATCAGCAGGAGTCCGACATGGGACCTAATCCCATTTGAAAGACTTTAAAAATATGGTTCTGCACATTTCATTTTGCTAGCAAAATAAACCCTAGGAACATGTTTCAGGATTGCCTATTGTGTCCCACATAAACTTACAACGGAACACTTAAAAACCGTTTGAAAGGATTTGATGTGTTTGTTTTATTTGTTTTGTCAAATTTTATGTGGGACAACCATAAAATGAACCACCGTAACATTTTATCATATGTAATCAATGACGTACATGGTAAAAGTAAATTTTTGAGTGTCTTAATTTAATTTTTAAATTTAATTCTGTGTCAGAATTGTGGGTCACACTAAAAGGGAGAGCTTTTTATTTATCTGTATTGTAAATGACTAGATAAAAAATCGTAAGAAATATTGGCTATTGTAAAGAAACAAATGTTTCTCCAGGATGACCCTGTCCAATAATGTTCTTTGCTCACAGTGAAATGTCACTGAACAGACTGAACTATATTTTCATTATAAGACAATAAAGAAAGTTGGTATTAGATTTAGACATGTGGCATGCAGAGGTAGGATAGCAGGTCTCTTCCATCACAATAGTGCTTATGTACTGCCCATCTCCTCAAGCCTTTATTTTGACTGTGCTGTAAAATGGAAATGTGTTGTTGAAGAAGAACTGTGCTTTTATTTTACATCCTGTTTTGAAATTAAATAATATACTCGCGTATAAACTATTTGTTCTCCTCAGCCAGAAACATTTATGTTTTGTACAGTGCAGTATTATGTTGTTGCACTGTTCTTTGGCAGACACCAGGGGGCAGTGTCAACATACAAAGGATTTATAGAAATAGCTTTGGACAGCATTGCTAATAGATTTCTGATAAAGTGTTGTTCTCAGCACCTTTTACCATGTGCCCTATATTTTCAGATCGTTTCCCCTGATGTATGCACTTGTGTCATCATGCCATCTCTCTCATGATCATGGTCTGCAAGCAATGTGCTTATAAGGTAAAATCTGAATGTCCTTGTGTTTCATACATTCGCCTTTAACAGAACCATGACATTTTGATCTCAGGACAGGACAGGCTCACATTTTTTCCAAGGCTGTTTTCACAAGCCTTCTTGTACGCTGAGTCATCAGTCACCGCAGTTGTTCCTCCTCTCCACACATTGGCCCATAAAATATCCCCTCCTAAATGTGATTGCATTTTAAGCAATAGGAGACAAAATGCAAAAAGAATTTCAGGTGAGGCTTATTTGAGGCTTCAGCAGCCTGGGTTAGTCAGAGTTAGTGTTTTTAGTATGAAATGTAACTCTGTTGCTATCCCTTCACTGCAGCTCTGTATGGTGGAACACAAAGAGGGAATTGTATACTAATAAGACTAATTTTGGAAAATACCCATTCAATTTGATTAACTCAGACTGCTGCAGCTGTAGCTTTTTGTGCCCGATGACTTAGACAAAGGCCTACATTAAAAAAAAATGTCCTAGCAAGTGGGATGTGTGAATGTTAATGAGATTTGTCCACGTCTCTCTCTCACTCTCCCTTTCTCACGTAGTCTCAACTGCTGAGTGAGGCTTGGCTGAGCTGTGCCAATGTATTCCCCAGGCTGCTGAGTCCTTGGTTTGCTCATTGAAAGATTACATTCGCTGCCCTCCTCCAGTGACCTCCCCTCCCCCAAGGGTCACCTGTGTCTGTGTCTCCCTCTGGGTTTTATACTCAGTTATAAAAAAATGAAAGAGTGCACAGCCAAAAGCCAACCCTATGTTGGCTCTAATACATGACAGAGAGGAAGGCAAACATTAATAGGAATGATGCATGTCTTGCAAACAGAGTTTTATATTTATGGATTTATAATTCAGCTTAGGACACTGTGTGAGTGAGCTACTATTGAAGCGAGAGGACTGAATCTCCTTTAAGTAAAGCTGTACGCTCTTACAGAGCATTTAGGGAAATGTACTGTGTAAGTATTGTATTTATGTATGGATGAAAGCGTTGGGTCAGATAAAAACACAATTTTATATACAGATTTGGGTCTCAAAATAGGTGTGTATGTGTCTGTGGATTCATAGGCAAGGGTTACACAGGGTTTGCAGTGTTTTCTGTTTGTATATTTGGTTATGTGTAATCTCCTTTCTGCTCTAAGCTGCTTTGCCCCAGAGGGGAGCGTCACCAAATGAACAGTTGACCAGGGTGGATACACTATGGGTGTTTTGAATTTATGTGATAAATGCATTGTAAGGGTATGGGTAAAACCAGATAAAATAATTTGACCGAAGACTAATGGGTCCATAGGCCATTCCTCCAGTGATCTGATGTGGTTTGAATGAGACCTTTCTGTTTGTTCTCACAGTCTGCACGCAATAATATGTCCTAGGAAGTGTTTATCGACAGGTCGCTGTGTTGTAGTTCTTTTTTCCAGAAGATATCAGGCTATATTGTGCTCTTTACCGTTTATGTCACCATGTTTCAGTTTATTTCTGTTGCCCCTGAGGCTGCTTCTTTAATTTGGCAGAAAAAAAAACACTCCTCCTCCTGCCATAGCTTTGCCCTCGGCCCAGAGAGTCATTCCATCACCATCCCATAATCCTCCAGGAGTAGAATTATACCCCTGACACCCAGTTTTATGCAGCTTCCTCCCCAAACGTAAAAAAAATACTCAGCAGAAGATGTATGAGCATGTAAGGAACAAGTCAAATTATATTCCCTGATATTGTTTGTGTTTATTTGTATGTGTGTACATCTCTCTCTGTCTTTATGCTTTCCATTTTCAAGCATGCTTCGATGTGTGTATGTACACTGAACAAAATTATAAACGCAACACTTGTTTTTGCCACCATTCATCATGAGCTGAACTGAGACTTTCTCTATGTACACAAAAGGCTTATTTTTCTCAAATATTGATCAAGTATCTGTCAAAATATGTGTTGGTGTGCACTTTGCAGAGATGATCTATCCACCTCACAGGTGAGGCATATCAAGATGCTGATCGCACAGCATGGGTATTTCACAGGTGTGCCTTAGGCTGGCCACAATAAAAGGCCACTCGAAAATGTGCAGTTTCACTGTATTGGGCGAGTCTGGGGGGGTCCAGAAACCAGTCAGTATCTGACGAATGTGAGCATTTGCCCACTCAAGTCAGTTATGACGACGACCGGCAGTCAGGTCGAGACCCCGATGAGGATGACGAGCATGCAGATGAGCTTCCCTGAGACAGTTCCTGACAGTTTGTGCAGAAATTCTTTGGTTATGCAAACCGATTGTTCCAGCAGTTGTCTGGGTGGCTGGTCTCAGACAATCTTGGATGTGAAGATGCTGGATGTGGAGGTTCTGGGCTGGTGTGGTTACATGTGGTCTGCGGTTGTGAGGCCGATTGGATGTACTGCCAAACTCTCTGAAACGCCTTTGGAGACGGCTTATGTTAGAGAAATGAACATTCAATTCACAGGCAGCAGCTCTGGTGGACATTCCTACAGTCAGCATGCCAATTGAATGCTCCCTCAAAACTTGCAACATCTGTGGCATTGTGCTGTGTGATGGAACTGCACATTTTCGAGTGGCCTTGTATTGTGGCCAGCCAAAGGCACACCTGTGCAATAACCATGCTGTCTGATCAGCATCTTGATATGCCTCACCTGTGAGGTGAATGGATTATCTCGGCAAAGGAGAAGTGATTTCAACAGATTTGTGAACAATATTTTAGAGAATAGGCCTTTTGTGTACATAGAGAAAGTCTTAGATCTTTGAGTTCAGTTCATGATGAATGGGGGCAAAAACAAAAGTGTTGCATTTATAATTTTGTTCAGTGTATGTGTATATATGGATGCATGTTATGGTTGTATTTACATGTGTACACTTACCAGCATCTTTCTGTGTGTGTGTGCTGGGGCTATAAGGGGTTTAGAGTCGCCCCAAGGCAGCTCATAATCTACCCAGTCCCACCACTCCCCAGAGGCTGTGGTTTCATGCGGGTTGCCATTACTGTAGTGAAACCCCCCTTTAGGGGATTACAGTGCTGTCTCCTGCTCAAGGCACTGAGTTGATACATAGTCTGCTTACTGTATTTAAGCACTCACTTAATGTGCTAATAGCGTTAGACTGGGGAGACGCAGCAGCTTTTAACTTTCATCTTCTAAAGCGCTTTGTCTGTTGGAAATGCTGATTTCATGGCTGCTGGCTTAAATCCATCGGTAATCAGTCACAATCACAAAATATTAAATAAGGTTCTGGATGCAGCAGACTTTATGTGTGCATGTTTTCGTGTGTGTGTGTGTATCAAAGGCAGTGAGGAGCAGTCACTGGGCCACGGTTACTGGGTTGAATCTCCTCCAGGAAGTGGAGTTGCCAGTTTCTCTTCACATTTTGGGGGTCATAGAGCACAACGAAGGGGTGGAGTGGGAGTACATTATCTTCCTCCTTCAGAGTTCCTGGGTTTTCCAAGTGTGTGTGTGTGTGTGTGTGTGTGTGTGTGTGTCTGCACGCATGAGTGTGTGTTCTCCATAGGCTGCTCTTGGGTTGCTAAGCAACGCTGTGTCTGCACAGTGAAGTGGGGGTGGTGGGAAGAGAGAGAGAAGCAGCAGGTCAACAGAGACAGACACTCACAAGCATTGCCGCGTCTGATTGGACACATCGGTGCTCCTGATGAATGATGCTGATGATTATCATGTTGACAGGCTGTAGGCCTGAATTGTGTCTGGGTCTCAAAGTCCACTCCCTCCCTCCACAGAGGTAAAGTCCATTTGTCTGTATCAGAAACTGAGATTGTATTTCTCTTACACACTGCTAAGAGCAACAGATGTCCAATGTTATATTTATTTTGGTTTAATATTTTGACCAATGTAGTTTAAAAAAAAACATGTTTCACAAAGCCATATTATAGTGATTAGTTATTATCGTACTCTGAGTACACTTTGTCACTTCCCTCTCATACAGAATCAGCTTTGATGATGGAACTAAAACATGTTGATTGTCAAAGACTGGAAGACAACAATTTCACCTTGTTTCCAAAGATGAATTGAAGAAGTGATGCCATACACTGAGGAAAAACTTGCACAAGGGAAAACATGGGTACCTCCTGTGTAATTTCTTGAGACACGATGAATGTGGTTTGATGTATGGCTTTTTGATACCCGCTTGAGATGACTTACTTTAGATAATCGCTATTAGCAAAGGTCTCTTTTTAATGGAATTTTAAATTCCACTTATTTATTAGTAAAGCGGTTTTGTTTTTACTTTTGAGTGTGTTCTGTCTGTTGATTTGATGACATATTCAAAGCTTCCAAATAATAAAAACTATGTCTGCGAATCTGTTCCTCCTTTGCACAGATAAATATTTAATGTCTTAAGTTTTGAGATACAGATGAGATATGAGAACAGTCATAGAGAAATCTTTTGCACAATCCTTTTGGTATGTTATAGGTCAGAGATATTTGATATTTACAGCTGTAAATCACTTTTCACTTAATTTTGAGCAATGTTTTCTCACAAAAATTTCAGCAGAAAATCAAGAGACCTGCAACCAGGACAGAAGATCCTTTCCTTAACTAAGAGTGTTGTCTTCTCCAAGTCTGACTACTAAAAAAATATATATATATATGATGACTTAAATCTTCTGGTTAAATAAAAAAGACCACATGAAGATTCACCACCAGTGTCCTCACACCATCTCCAATGAAGGAGATGGTGTGAGGACTCAGTAGCTATAGCTCAGATTCACTCCGGGCAACAGATCCAAGTGACGTTGGGGACGTTGGGTGGTCACGCTCCACTGTCACCAAGGTAACCGGAGTGGTTCGAGGCCAAGCCTTTACGACTGAATGTCACAGTGGTTATGGGAGACAGACTGGAGATTGCAATCACACAGACCCAGGGTCAGGCATGGCAAGGACAAGCTGAACTGTAGGTTACCTGCTAGCATCAAATGCAGACAGCCACTAGTAGCAAGCTAAAGCATATATTTGTCATCTCATGCGTTGGTGGAGGACGAGCCAGAGGCAAAAGGTCAATGAATACTGGAGTTAACGTCATATCAATAATTATGCTACACACACTTTCTGCTGAATGTTTAAGATACTAGGCAACTGTTTGCTAGCTAACACGTGAGCCATAGCAATGCTATCAGCCTAAAATAATGTCCAGACTGTTGTGGAGGGCAGTTTTGCATGTGTAAGTCGAGACTTCATTTTTTATTGCAGTTTTCTGCTTCAAAAGATGCATAAATGCACCTTTACGTTTACCGATTAGTTATTTATGTTATTGTGTTACCAAAATCCTAATGTTACACACTGCCACCTTATGCTCCCTGTTGGTCAAATATTCAAATATTTCCCACTGTGGTAACATTTGTGGCTAAATGCTAAGTAAGAATGCCTACCTTTATTGAAGTGTCTTAAGTGAAAACCCAAGGTCTAGGCCTACAGCTTCAGATGGTTTTTGTAACTGATTAATCTATCCTTTTTGTTCAATGAATTTTAGTCCAAAAGTGTCAGAAAAATGCCAAAAAAGGGGGAACCAGTTTATGTTTGGCATTAGTGCTTGATAAAGGCGTAATCGATTACATAAATAAATTCATGATGAATTAGTTGATTATCGACTAACCTCTTCACCATTACAAACCTCCCTTCTTATTTGAGTGAACCACAGATTGAACAAAGTACAACTTTATAAACTGTATGCAGCAACATAACATAGCTTTAGCCGGCCTGCATAGTTATTACTAATCGACTACACTTTTTTTGACACACTAAAAGTGTGTCAAAAAATACTGAAAACTATAAAAACATTTGTAGTATGTCACACCTCTCCCTCTCTGCTCTCTGGTTTTGGCAAAGGGTCAGATCTTAGACAGACGGGACCTTCTGAAAGAGCTAAACACCAAAGCTTATGGATTTAACCAGAGGGGTATTTTGGTGGCATATGGTTGGGGTAAATAGGTGGAGACTCGCAGGTAGAACAGTAGCTGTATATGGGAAACAGTGGGTGGGCTTAGGGGGAGCTTTGTGGTGGATGTTAGGCTGGTGGGGGGCAGTTAGAAGGGCAGATATGGCAGTGCTGTGTGGAGCTTTGCCCATCATTGGTAAGTAGTGGGTGGGGGAGGGCGATGTGGGCAGTCTTGGAGTAAATCAGATAAACAGCTCTTCTTGTTCCCTGCTGTGGGTGGGGGGTGTTAAAGCCTGGTGGCCGACAGCCAGCATCAGGGATGGCACCAACTGTCCCTGGCAGCCCCTCACTCTCTGCTGCCACACTGACTGAAGCCTCTGTGTGTGTGTTAGTGTGTGAATTTAAGTATTTATCTTGCAGTCAGTGGTCATTTCTGGTTCCTGCTAGTAAGGCTGGGCATGAATATTTATCTTCATATTCGTAAGATATAAGTAAATTATGTTCATTTTCTGATGTTGATATACTGTATATCTGATATCGATGTACTGTATATCGCAAAATGGCTAATGAATTCAAGATCACATAACAATCAAACTGATGTGCAAATTAGGGGTGGGTAAGTGTACTGCTGATACTTATTTAGAGTATGGATACGACAACTAGACTGAAAATTAATCAGCATTGATTCATTGTTTAGGTCATAAGCAAATTTTACAGATTCAAACTTCTGAAACCATAGCTGAACATGTGTTATCTTAGCTTAGTACAAAGATTGCAAACAGAGAAATAGCTAGCCTGGCTCCGTAGTAACACATCTTGTTTGTTTAATCTGTACAAAAACTTTGGTTTTAGGGAGGCTATGTGCCTCTGCGCCTCTCTGTGACAAGACTCTGCCGCACAATCCCCCAGAAAATCACAACTTGTTGTTTATACGCTTTGGTTTTTGTTTGGATTAAAGAGGTGGTTTAATGCTCATTTTCAGTTTTAGAATCTTATTTAGGGGTTGTACCAGAACAGGTTTATGTGATTTAATTTTCCAAAAACACCATATTTTTGTCATAATGCATATTGCTGCAGCTCCTCTTTTCACCTTGTGTGTGAAGGCTTCGTTTTAGCTATGGAGTGATACATCTTTCCTCGACATGATCTGCACATGCGCACTTCCTAGTTAAGGACTACTAGCCAAGAAGCAGAGAAGGTAAACACGGTAAACACGTTTCGGTTCAGCTGTATACCCCCTTACCAGCTTAGCAACATAGACTGGAGCAAGAGTTTCAGAGTGGTGAGTAATTAATCTGTAACAAATGTATCTTTCATCCATAAAGTTTTAACTGAACTCTGTCTCTACATCACAGTAACATCTTTATGTCCATTGACTGCCTGGCGGGTAGCTAGTGTTTGGAAGGGAGAGGAGAGGTGTGTGCTGCAGCTCAGTGTTTTCCCACCGGTGAGGGCGTGTTGGACTAGCCACCTGGAGAGTGTAATATGACGCGCCTTTTGCTTTCATCCCTGTGACGTCACAGGGATGAAAGGGAAACGGCTGGACTACAAACGAGCTGTTTTCAGGCAGTTCAGAGCAGAGTTTTCTGTGGGAGATGGGAACTCCCTTTGGGTTGGACTTTGGGTTTTTTCACACAGGCTAGCTGTTTCAGTCTTTATGCTAAGCTAAGCTGACAGACCTCAGGTGGAAGCTTCATATTCATAACAGACAGATTTGAGAGTGGTACTATCGATCTTCTCATCGAACTCTCAGCAACAAATGAGCGAATGAGTATATTTCCCAAATTCCAAAAAGGTGAAAAGAAATCTGTAGAACGTTCACTTGATAAGATCAAATCATAATATGATACTGCTCCAAGTTGATATAAAGTTATTTAATTATCGCTGAGCCCTACCTTCTATGCAGACTTGCGTAGAAGAGATTCTGCTGGGTATTAAAATCTGTGTGTGTGTGTGTCAGTGGTGTGTAAGTTGTCTCTGTGCTAATTGGATTATGTCTCCAGGTGAATCCTCTAGTAGTCACTGTACTGTGGTTCACATTCAGCTCTCATCCTACTCGCACCCTCTCTCTCATTAGTCACTGCCTTATAAGACACTCAGCCATCCCCGCTCTGCCACCCACTTCTCTATCCCTCTCTGTTTCTTTATCATATTTAATCACCAGCAGTCAGTGGTCAGGCAGATCTCAGCTTTGTGATGATTGGCTGCTCTGGGAGTGGGCAGGGCCTGCTCTGATGCATCACATACGTACCAGCGCAGCAGGACCGATCTTCTCTCTCTCTCTCTCTCTCACTCTCTCCCTCCCCCTCTCTCTCCCTCTCACTCTGCTTTTCATACATACGCCAGAGCGCAGACTGCAGCAGAACACAGGGTCAGTAGAGTTTTCCTCCTCATACTGAAACAGCTGAGAAAGCAGAGACAGTTTCCCGCTGAGGAGGAGAGAGATGTTATTCATGGAGGATCTACTGAGGAGTACCTGACCCACAAGCTGCCAAGTGTGTAGGTGAGTGTGTGTTTGTCTCACTGCATATGTGTGTGTGTGTGTGTGTGTGTGTCCATGTGTGTGAGAGTTCACTGCAGAAGCAGCAGCACTGCAGATACACCGACCAGGGGCTCTGCTCATCCCTCTCTCCCCTCCCCCCACTCTCCTCGCCCTCCTCCTCCTCCTCTTCATCTCCTCGCTTCTCTTGTAGCATCCATTAACAAGTCAGGATTTAGCTCTTTCTGGGAGCATAGTGCTATGAATGTTGTGTGCTAGTGAGAGAGTACAATTGGTCTGGCCACACCTGGACAGCTGCAGGGTGGACACATGGTGCGGTGGATTTTTCTTGCCTCACGACTGATGTGTGCTCTTGTGAGGCACAAATCAAGCTCACCCCTGGTAGTTTTTGAACTGTTTTCAAATAATCCCCCTCCTGCAGGTTTGCATCAAGCTCTGAGAAGCAGTTGTGTGGACTCCTACACGCACCCATCCCTCCTTCGGGACCGGCCCACCCCCTCCCTACCTGCCCCTCATCTTCATTTAAAGATATGATGCCCGGCTCTGCGGCCCTGTGCTGAGGAGGCGTCGGCGGGCAGCAGTATGGGCGCTGTGCTGGCCGGCATCCCCACCACCACCCCCACCACCACCGATCTGCCACCACCCCGCTGCCCCGCCGAGACGGGCGCTCCCCCCAGCCCCGCTGATGGGCGAAGACACTGACGCCCCCCGACGCTCAACCACCGCGGTTTCCTCCCCGACCACAATTATGTGACTGAAGGTAAGAAGATGACAGAGAAAGCCTCATGTGTCTGTACGTTACCTAAGTGTGTGTTTAAATGTTACCCCATGTGAATGAGTATCTGTGTATACGACTTCTGGAGAGTGTGTGTGTGTGACAAAGTGTGCGTATGCTTGTATAGATTATTATTATTAGATATTAGACATAACAAGCTTAGGACGGCTTCCTAATCTTCTGTAAGCTCCATGTTGATCAGTGTTCAGACAGAGTTGCAGACAGAGCAACAAGAACTAGGGAAAAACACTCTTATTACTGCAAAATTCCAGTTTCCTCTCCATGTACCCTCATTTGTTTCAGTTTTTTTTGTTTATTTTTGCTTTTGTAACCACTTTTGTACCTTGTGTAACACAGCTATTTTGCTACACTGCAGGGAATCATTGATCTGGCCTGTATCCGAATGTGTGTATGTGTGTCTCTGTTTGTGTCTGTATGTCAGTGACAGAGAGAGTGGGAGAGTATATATTTTTAACTGTAACAGCACCACAGTACACCTCTCACATCATAATAGAATCACATACATGCACACTCTGTTGCTCTCTCCTCTTGAATAAAACAGGTGCAGGTGTCAAATTGAATATATAGCTTATCACGCCTCGGATGGGTGGTTTATTAAAAGGCCCTGCAGCACAAAAGCCCTGCAAACCACTGGATTTCTTTGGTTTGTTTCATAAAACAGATGGATTATAACCCTGGATAAACCCCCCTTCTTCTAATCTCCATTACACCACTAATCTCACCTGCACACTAGCTACACTGTCTGCCTTTCTTCCTGCTTATCTGTGTGTCCCCAATCTGTTTCTTACACTTAGCTCATTGTTCGCCACGCCTTAGACCAGAGCAGGGGATTATCATTTGGGGGTCATGAATGTGTTGTGAGCTCATCTGTGATCACTGCAGGAAGGAAATTATGCTTCCTGTGTCTGTGCTGTTATATAATTTCCCTCACACAAAAGCACAAACTCTGTATGTATTCCCCCTGACCACAGTCTGTAAGACCTTTAGCGGAGCCTGTTGATTGTGTGCGTGTATGTGTGTGTCTGTTTGTGTGTGTGTGTGTATTCAACCTATTGTATCTCAGTGATTGAAGGATATCTGTGTGTGTCTTTGTTTATCTCAGTGTGTGCAAGTGTCTTTTTTTATACAGTATTTCCATGACCAATATGTGTCTTTGTCCATTTCAGAAGAGGATTTTCACGAACTAGCGCCAAAAAATCTGTCTTAACATCACCGACCATCCATTATTGCCATAGCAACGGTCCGTGATAAAAAACATGCTGCTTTTCATGCTTGGCCATTATGATTGACAGGCCGTCCCCACCCACCTATAATGGTAGTATTAATTATTCCACATCTCAGGCAGACACAGATGTTATTCAGGGCGAATTTCTGATGAATTCACACCAAAGTGGACACACCTATGAACACTATTGGTCTGAAAGCACTGTGCAACACATGGACAGTCTCAAAAGAGGTAGTTGCAGAAGAAGTCATTCACTTAATGACCACAGAAGATACTTTCCTGTCACAGTCAACAAAATGATTCATTACCTGCCTACCTACATCCACTCCCACACCCTCCACCTTTCCTCCATGTTCACCCCATCTCCCGTACTCCTCCTCCCTATTTCCATCCCCCACTGCTCCCCCTCCCTCCCTTTCCCCATCGGCCATCTAATGCAACTCGCAGCATTGTCCGGGACTGAAGTGGTGCGTCTGCCAAACAATTATCCAACAGTGCTCTAAAGGCTGCTCAAAAACAATGTGCCTCTGTATGTGTGTGTTAAAGAGAAAGACAGACTGTAGTAGAGACAGACAGAGTGCGGTGGCGCATGTGATTTTATGCTTGGGTGTATTTTATTAGCTCCTGTGTGTCTCCATCTGTCTTTATTTTTTTTGCCGTTGTTGCATTCATATTCATGTCCGTGTCTTTGAGTGCATACCGTGTGTCTTTTTGTTTGCTCAGGTCTGTGTGTGTATGGGTGTGTGTGTCTGCAAGGATTTTCTGTGTATGTGTGTGTATATATGTGTGTGCGCATACGTAACAGTGTGTCTGTAGATCCTCCCGTGGGGATTCCCCTGCCCTTTAACTCCTACAGGGAAGGGATGCCTAACCTCCCACTACCTTAACTTCCCTCCCCTCACTTCTTCCCTCCATCTCTTATTCCCTTTCTCTTAATCCCTTTTGCCCTCCTCAGTATCTCCTTTGCTATAACTTCACCTCCTCCACCTGGAGTGGCCTTGGGTTCAAGGGCGGATGAGAAAATAAAAATGATACATTGCATCAAAATTCTGAAATTTTGCATTTTTGATAGTTTTGTAAATACATTTTTTATGACTGTTTCCATTTCATAAATAATGCAAGCACATTATTATTGTGCACAATATACAAAAGTATCAATTCTTTTAAGTGAAAACCAGATATGGTAAATCTTAAGGAGCTTAACTGCTTTATTTTTAAGATTGATTGTTAGTGACAGAATCTAGTTGGTTTTGAAAATGTTTGAGAAACCTCAGAAGTTGAATAGTTCTTCAGTTGCCTGTAGAGATGGGCAAGCCTCTTATTGGAACTGAAACTGGAAACAGATAATCCCAAACATGGGATTACAAGATCTTGACACTAACATGTGCCCGGACATCATACTGCAAGTACAAAGGAGGTAAAACCAGTAAGAATTTAATTAAAGCCAAATGTTTATTCTTACCATAGTAAAACATCCAATATGTCTAAATATAAATTGTACATGTAACTCTAAAAGTAAACATTTGCTGATCGCAGCGTCTTATACGTCAAACTGTCTTCCTCTGAGTTTTCTGACTGTTGTTCACACCAACAGTTTAAGAGTAATAAGAAATTGCTTTGGGCTTTAGTAACCTGTGATGAGGAGATGTTTGACATTTGAATTGACAGATCAATCAATGAAAATAATTGTTAGTTGTCATACCTGGATGTAAGTATGTGAGCTTTCACAAGCTGCTCACTGCTCACTTTTCTAATTGTTATCCAATTATTGTCACCTCTGGGGAAATGCCAGCTATCTACACTTCTGCCTATTAAGACATATTAAGACTCTGTCCCGTAAGCTGTCTATCTCTGTCCATCCTGCATGTCTTGCTAGCCTTCCTGCCAAACCCAACATGTAAATACATCATAATGAATAGATACAGAATGATCATAAATTATTTATTTATTTTTTATTTTTTTGTCTGATGAGTACTCATGGCCAAGTGTGGTGATGCAGTAACTCAGTCCCTACCCTTAACCCCACCCTACCTCCCTGGTCCTTCCTTCGTTCCTTCCCCTCTGCTTCTCCCTGTTGCCCTCCTCCCTTCCCTCCATCCTTGCTCCTCTTGCAGGGCTGCTCCTGGCTATAGCCTGAAGAGCTCGGCCCATCCTGTCCACCCCTCTCCACCCTGGAGTCCTCCCCCAGGATGTTGAGTCCCATCCAGGTCCTGTGCTCCGACATCACTACCCTTTCTCTGGAGCCCGAACCGTTTGCCTCTTACACTGAAGGTGTGTGCTCTATCCTCTTCTATCCCGAAGGTCATATCTATGTCGCACAGTTGCGCCACATGACCCCAATGTGAGGTACTGAGAGTTTGTGTGTGTGCGCCTGTGTGTGGGTAGCTTAATGTAAGAGTGTGTTTGTGTTCTGCTGGAGTGTATGTGTGTGTGTGTCATTAAGTTTGTGCGTGTGTTTGAGTCAGGTGAAATCTCACGTGAGTCTGCGTGTTATAAATATCTAAAACATCACTTTGTCTCTGTCTGTCTGCCTCATCCTTCTTGTATGTCTCTATTTTTGTACCTGCCTTTTTATTTTTGTCTCAGTCTGCCTGCTTCAGTGTGGATTGTGTGTGTGTTTGTGTAAATGTGATTGATTTCTTTAAATAGTTTGACCAGACGACACCCTGACTCCTTCATAGCTATCTTACTTCTATTTTTATTTATATATGGAGGAAGGTGCACAGAGACACAAAATATGACAAACTCTCTTAACCTCTAAACACATATACTCTGTACATGTACTATTTAGATATTCATGCGCACACAAGTAGGGCTACAACATTTTTTCCCATTAATTATCAATTTATCTGCAATTTCATTTCTTAATGTATTGATTAATTGAATGTCTACAAAATCTCCCAGAGCCTTCAAACTGCATTTTTTGTCTGACAAGCAGTCCAAAACCCAAAGATATTTAGTTTGCTATTGTAAAAGATTAATATCTGAGAAGGTAAAACCAGTGAATATTAGTAGCCATTTTAGACAACAATTCATCAAATATGAATATCGTTGCAGTATAATTTTGGCCACGTAATCGTTTCAGCTTTTCACACATTTGCACAGAAATAAACAAGTGGCAGATAAAAAAAGGGCAAGACTTTTCTGAATATGGAGATTACATTTCAATATTTATGAGAGGTCGACACATAATCTCAGTTTTGGGTATAAACCATAAACCAGCTAAGCTCCTAATCTTTTTTTATATTACAGTCTCACAAATCTGCTGAAAAAACTAATTGATTTCTATCAAAAATTAATCACACATTGCTGCTTTGAGAATTCATGCAGATGTTTTTGCAGCCAGGCAATACAGGATTACAGGTGTATTTCACACACGGAGTTGAAGCTGGCTTGGTTTGTGATTCTAATTGTTTGTGTCTATAACCATTAGGCTCACACCGGCTCTGCTCCATTGTGCCGATGTGTGTTTGGAGAAATGGCAGATTCCCTGCTGTGCTGGGCTTAAATCACTCGTCTCCACACATGTGCACCTCTAACACAAACACATGCACCATTTTTTCCCCAGATAACTCCAAAACTGCAGGACAGGGATCAATTTAACGTCTCCCTCCGGCAGTCTCTCCCCTCATCTCCTTCGCTCCCTCCTCTCGCTCCAACCAGTCTATTTCTCTGCAGGGTAATTGAGTACACACACTTGTGCACACGTACACAGGAAATGCGGGGTGCTTGAGCTGCAGCATGCACACACACTCACCAACACACACACGTGCGCACACATCTCCTGCTGAGTGGTGGCTTGTCCTCGCTTTTAAGGAGTGTGTGGTTTTGGCTCAGCTTTAATGGTCTGTGTTTACCCAGACCTAAGATATCTATAATTGGGACTGTAGGACGTCTGCTCCTCTCTCTGTCCCCATAGTAGCCTGAACAAAAAGAAATAAGGAAATCCACCTCCCTCGACCTTTGCCGCCACCCTCGTCTATCCCATAAACCTCCTCTCTCCTCTCAAGAGTGCCTGCATTGTTTCATTTTGTAGCCACATATGAGCACATCTTAATGTGTATAATACAAACTATGGTTAGAACAATTATTTTCATCATCAGTTAATCTGCCTATTATTATTTTCTTGATCAGTTGATCAACTTTTGCTTTATAAAATGTCAGAAAATAGTGAATAATGCTGATCACAATTTCCTGAAGCCCCAGGTGACGTCTTCAGATCTCTTGTTTTGTCCAGCCAGTCATCCAAAAACAGAGATATACAATTTACAATCACTTAAGACAAAGGGAAGCAGCACTTTCTCTCAATTAAGAAGCTGGAATTAGGGAACATTTGTAATTTTTACTTGAAAAATGTTTATTATCAAATAAATTATCAAAACTGTTGCAGATTAAATTTTTGTTGATCGACAAGTACATTAATCAACAAATCACCCCAGCTCTATCTGTCAGTCTTTGAATTGTCAGTGAAAAATGGCCATCACAATTTTTCCTACAGTGGCATCTTAAAATTGCTGGTTTTGTTCAGCCAACATCCTCAAAAATGAAAATGATATGTAATTTCCAGTTATGTAAAACAGGAAAACTGCTACAGACAACAATAGTTTGGCATGTTTGCTTAACAAATTACTTAAACCAATAATGAACTGATTTTCTGCTGATCTACTAATCATTTCTCCCGACAACATTCTTTGATCACTGAGGAGTTGCTGTCCTTATAAACACCTCACAGTGCATTTGTGTGTGTAATGATTATCATTTGTGCATTATTTTATGCTTCACTGTGTCATTGGGTGCATTCATCTTTGCCTGTTGTTTTGCGTTGATTTGTACTGTATGTGTGGGCGCATGCACTTGCAATCACATTGTGTTCCCCCAGCTCCTGCAGTGGGGTGATGAGTCAGACAGGCCTACTGATGCTAATGGACTATCTGTGGGAGACAGACACATAGGGTTGCAATGATATGATAGTTTCACGGGATGATAACCATCTCAGATCACGATATTACACAATTTTTATTATAAGTTTTATTTTTTGGTTGAACAAACACTTGAAACTTGAACAGCTTTTTTAATAACACTGATACGGTAGAATTCAATGCCATAGGTAAGCAAATGTACATGGTAAAACTACAAATTTTCATACCACAGGAAATGGTGAAACCAGCTGCAACCCTTGAGACACAGCTAGCTTGCTTATACTGTAGCATATACACACTATAAGACATTGACTTACAGCTTGACGACAGACACACATATTACATTAGTACTGTACATTTCCCTCTTAGAGGAGAGCCACAGCATTTGTGTTGAGGCTTGTTTCTTAAGTGTCTTCAGTTGTGTGATTTCTTAGTGTTTTATTTTTCTGCAATGCTCTTCTAATAAAGAGCATCAGAGAGACAGATGGAGTGAGCTGTGTATGGTGTGTTTGTGAGAGAGAGAGTGACAGAGGGTAACTGAAAGATAAAGAGGCTTCAGGTCGAGAACAGACAGGATGAGAGAGGAGAGTGTGTGCTCCATATTTTATTCAGCTATATTGTGTGCCTCTCCTGTGGTTTTGCTTAGCTTAGCTCTTTCTCTGTGCGACTTGAGTGGAGACACAGTTATCTGTAAATGTGTTGGGTGTATACACACTCACACACACACACACACACACACACAAAAGCAATAAGCACACACATTTGCTGTACATCATTACGTGACTGTGTGCATTCAAAGCTGCATGGTGTGCATGGTGTGTTCATGAATTTAGGGGTCTGTTTTTGTACGAGTGCCATCGTGTGTGTGTGTATGCAGTAATTATCTGCATATCCTCAATTTGGACCATAACATCTGCTCCATCTCCTGGTATTAATTTTGCGATGTTTGTCAGTGGACAAAACTGCAGCGGCATAATTATTTTACCACGCTGCTTCTTCCTGCGAGGATTGGATTGATGAATCCAACTTCCTCCTTCACCATACTGCCATATACGGCTAACCGTTACGAGTACCGCCGCTACTGGTTGGCTCAGCCTGTTACCATGGCAACCCCTGCTCACCAAAGGCACCCAGCACCGCCTCCGCCCCAGCGCCTCTTCCCTCCACCTCCCTTTCCATCCTTCCCATTCTTCCACCACCAGCATCACCACCACTATGTACCCGCTAACCTACAGCCAGAGTGCCGTGGGGGAGGGATGAGAGAGAGAGAGAGAGAGAGAGAGAGAGCTGAATGTGGATAGACAACAGGGAGGAAAATGAGAGAGTGAAGTGGGGCAAAAGAGAGAGACCGGGGAACAAGAGATGAGAGATGACAAAATAATGGGGGATCGAGAGAGTAAGAGAAAGCCTGAAATAGAGGAAAGACATTGAACCTGAAGAATAAAGAAGGCACTGCAGTGACTGAAAATGAAAGAGAGAGAGTAAGAAGCAACCAGTAATACATGAAGATTGTGAAGTACAGAGTGAATAAGGTTATGTTAGTGTGGAGATTGAGGAGCAGTCCCTGCCTCCCCTCATCATAAAATCTCTCTCTCTCTCAAGGCCACCACAAAATAGGCAAGGCTACAGCTTTGAATGAGTGAACTCTCAATAAATAAGCTCTATTTTTATTTTATAGTCACTGCTTATTGAGGACCACCTTTTCTATCAAAACTGAGCTCAGTGGACTCCTTTTACAAAGGCTTGGTGGGATACTGAATCTGAAATGAGGCTCATTTTTGTGGTAGTGCAGTAGTTGATGTGAGGTTTTGCTGTACACAAATCTCAGGCAGGCAGGACTGCTTTGGAGGCTAGAATCCTAAGTCAGTCAAAATGCACCGTTATTACGCCTGGGGGGCTATGCAGCTTCTTTCTTGATTACCTTGAACATAATTTCAAAATCACTGTAGGTTTTGTGTTTTAGGTAGAATAGGTTTGCAGATGTATCAGCATTGAGTGCTGACTTGCCTACCAGCACCTCTAAAGCTCACTAATTAACACAGTATATCTCGTTTGTTTATATTCTACAATACAGTGTAAAAATGAAGATGTGGTTTAACTGGAGGTTTTTTGTTCGGGTGTAGTAACTTTGTGGAGTCTCTGCTGGTTGCCTAACCTCCTGATGATGACAAGATCTTCATTATGAGTGGACTGATTTGGTCAGTGTGAAAGAATCATGCAAATTCATCATCCGACTTACTGCCCCATACACCAGCAACTGAACTGCATGTCATGATGCAGTATGTTGGCGGGTGTCATGTGAAAAATACAACATATGGATAAGAAAGCTTGAGAGCGTTTGTCGTGACTGAGGTTGATTATCACCATTTTGAAGATTAACCAGTCACTGAAGTTATCACCATAGTGATCAGCATCACCAGCAATGTGTCTGTCCAAAACACCTCCTTTGTATTTGCAAGTGTAAAAACAGTCCATCCACACATTTGAAACTTAACAGCTAAGCTGAACATTCACTTCACTTCTGTTAGTAATTTGACTGGACTTGTTTGTTTTGTTCAAATCAAAGAGACTGAACAGCCTGAATGTGGGATGATGACCAAGCAGGTCAAAATATGGGCCTATATCAAATATTTATATGATGTTGGATTAAATAAATTATCCATTGATGACCATGGCATTCCTGATTTTGGAAGGTCAGCAGACTAGCAAATTAGCTTACCTAGCGTGGCTAGTTTGAACTTTGAGATAACTTTACATGGCTTGCTACCAGGTAAGCTACATCCTCTCATACCGCCTCTCTTTGATTTGAACAAAACAAACTTCTTCTTTCTTTGTATTCTGATTTCACTACCTCTTTATACAGCTGACTTAAGTTTTCTTTACAGACAGAGCTGCTTTGGGGGCAGGAAAAGTCTCAGTGGTTAAACTTCTTTCAAAGACATGATAAACGGAGGTTCAATAGAAAGAAAGTCTGAGAGGAGATTATATGCAACGCAAGATTCAAGCATCAGATCTCACACTGACTTGCCCTTCATTAGACGGCACAACCAAGTGCTTTCTATTTCATATTCTGTGTGTTGTGCGATGCAGGAAGGTCCACTGAGAGCATTGAGACAGTAAATGCTAAGTGGTTAATAACGTGCGTACTCCTCGTATTACAGTGTTGTCACTGAGTCAGACTGTGTTGGTGTTTCGGGACACAGGGCTAGTGATGGGGACATCGTCACAGATATGCAACTGAATGTCCTGAAAAAATTATATTTGAATGATTTTGAATCACTATTGCAAGTACACTGAGTGGTGTTTACACTTTAAGACACTACATAGATTATACCCCCTAATTATTCATATAAACACACACACACACACACGATTATAAAGTCACTAGAGTTCATTGTGTGTGTGTGTGTGTGTGTGTGTGTGTGTGTGTGTGTCATTGTGTGCGTCATTGTGTATGTGTCATACTGGAACACAGATAACACCTGTGCCTAATGTGAAACAGCTGTATGTTTGTGTCTTTGATTTTCTGTTGTTTTGATGGGATAATATGTACTGTATTCTGAATTTTCTCTAAAAACTTACACACAATTGCACAATATTTGTGTTAGGTATCAAATATTGTTTTATTCTACACATTAATTTGAATTTTTTAATCCACTTGCATGTTAATGTATTGACTGTTGACTAATAATTTAGTCAGATAATATAGATGAATCATGATATGTGTTCAATTAGCTAATGGCTACTCTTTTTCTCTTTCCTACCGTTCTTTCCTCTCATGCTACACCTCTCTCTCTCTTCCTCTCTCTCTCTCTCACTCACTCTTCGACTCTATTTCTCTCTCTGCCCAGCTGATATCATCTCCACTGTAGAGTTCAACCACACAGGAGAGCTCCTGGCCACAGGGGACAAAGGGGGCCGAGTGGTCATCTTTCAGAGGGAACCTGAGGTAGACATTACATAGTGACACAGGAGTGGATTTTCACTCCTGTCCTTACCCAATCCCAGAAGAATGACTCCCGTCCCATCCAATCCCGATAAAAACATATATAACGTTATATAATAGCGTATTAATGTTAGAATGAGTTAGAGCATATCTATATATAAAAACAGACCTATGATGCCTGTCCTGCCCTTTCCTGTTGACATTTTTTCTGTCTCGTCCCAATCCTGTGATGAATAGTGAAACTGACTCCCATTCCCGACGGGATTCCTGAAAAAATGTCAGCCTCTAGTAGACACACACACACACACACACACACACACACACACACACACACCAACACTCCCACACGTGCACACAAATATACAGTTTTTCATTGCAGCTCTGAGAGCTGTGACGAACACATCGTTCCCCTCCAGCTACAGCCTAGATTGATTGATAGATAAACAGTAATGCTCCTGCTGTGTCAGAGAGTGTATCATTAGAGCTGTGCAGGGTCCATGCCATGCCATTTCTTCACATGATCAAGGTGACAGAGACTGGCTCAGGCCCTGGGTGTTACATTTTTCTCCCCACATTTTCACCTCCCTTTCATTCCACAGAGCAAGACTGAGCCATTCTCACAGGGAGAGTACAATGTCTACAGCACCTTTCAGAGCCATGAGCCCGAGTTTGACTACCTTAAGAGTCTGGAGATCGAGGAGAAGATCAATAAGATCCGATGGCTGCCTCAGCAGAACGCCGCACACTTCCTCCTCTCCACCAATGGTGAGAGACCCCACGCACACACACACTTGTCCATCTTAGAGGAGCCAGGAATATGTGGAAGGAGGGATGTGCTTGATTGATATTTTGTGGAAAAACACTCTACTTAAACCAGAACTAACCAGAATGGCTCTCATTGTACCATTGTTTCTCCCTTAAGTGTGTGACAAAGTGAAGAGCCTGGTGTTGCAGTTGAAATTAAGACCATTATTTGAGTTTCTTGGGTCAGAGAGCAGAGTTGTCCCTTGCCCTAAGAGGGAAGAGTTGCTGCTTGTGTTGCATCACATTTAAGAGGTCTCATTATTAGAGTTTATTACTATATTGGAAGATCTATAGATTTTCCCTGAGCGCCCTGTTATCGATTAATTTAAGCACTATATTATTTATGATTGAGGGTATGAAGAATGTAAGAACTGCCTCAGCAGCTGGGCAATGCTGCTGCTGGACTGCTTGCAGTCATTTGTCGTTCAGTGTTGATGAAACAAAACCTCACTGTTAGTTCATTTAGAGCTTTAGAGTCCAAGCTGTCTTTCAGAGCTGACAGTTTGGGGTGTGGTGGATTATCTTGTCTATGAAGTTAATTATATTGGGTTCAAGTGCCTGGGTTGACCACATCTAAAATCATAAAACAGCATTTATTAAAAAAAGATTTTAGGCTTTGAGCTCTACCAATAAGATATGAAATTCTATATTTAGCATACTCTGATATGTTTAATCACATCTAATCTGAGATCTCCGGATAGCTTCCTAACCTCAGAGCATATTGACATATCTTTTCTTTTTTTTTATTACACTTTCAGATTATATTTGTCCTTTTCTGATTGTTTCTGATTGTCTGTTTCACAGATAAGACCATTAAGTTGTGGAAGGTGAGTGAAAGAGACAAACGGCCAGAGGGATACAACCTGAAGGATGAGGAGGGTCGCATCAAGGACATGTCCACCGTCACCTCCCTACAGGTAACGTCTGCCTGTCTGTCTTTATCTATTGCACACACTAAAACATTCATAATTGCAGTCAGTTGTGCAGCATAACTGGGTCAGTGGGTACAGATGCGTGCATGTGCAAAAATGGGTCACTGGCTTAATAGTACACGTGTGTACACATAAGTGTGTGGGGGCGGAGAAAACCTCTATATCCCAGTGTGCAGAACAGCAACACAACATTAGTCAAAGCTTCGGTACACACACAGTTTGCCCATGTTTGTGCATATGCACGTATAGTATGTCCTTCTTTGTAGACGTGTGTGTATGGTGACGGTGCTCCCACTGTGCTGTATGCAAATAAGGACACACATTTTGCATCGACAAAGATATTGTGTGTTAATGCAAATGTCAAGATATGAAAATGAGCTGTAAGTCATGCACTAAATTGGCTCTTGATCTGGCCATCAAGCGAGCAAGTTAGGGTTCCAATAACTATTATTGATGTCAAAGGTAGTAATGGATTAAATATTAATTCATGATACAATGCAATTATTTAAATTGAATCTACTTACTGTATTTCCACTATCTTTCCCGTCCTAATCAGCATGGGATGATAAACTGCTCTCTCTTTCTGCCTTTGCAAGGTGCCGGTGTTGAGGCCGATGGACCTGATGGTGGAGGTGAGCCCACGGCGAGTGTTTGCCAACGCCCACACCTACCACGTCAACTCCATCTCCGTCAACTCTGACTACGAGACCTACATGTCAGCTGATGACCTGAGGATCAACCTCTGGCATCTGGACATCACCGACCGCAGCTTCAGTATCCTTTGTTGGCTGTAATATGTATTCAGAGTGAAGAGAAGACAAATACACAATCACGTAGACACGAACGTGAACACGTATGAAGGAACAGGAATAGAGGGCACAGATAATTCAAGCATACATTATCACATTGATGCTTACACATGCTCAATTCTCAATACCTGTCCGCCCCCCCCCCCCACACACACAACAAACTCCCACATTGCAAATCCCACTTTGTTGTATGAAGAAATGCACAAAAGACACACACTGTTGGGGGAGGGGAATATTATCTGTGAGGAGTGAAAATGTAGCTTAATGAATAATTCAAAGGCTGCATAAATATTTCAGCCTCTTTCTGAGTTGTAATCCAGCTCAATAGGACACAGTAAAGTCACATCCCTGACCCAGTCAAGATTTATAATGTTACAGTTTTTCTGAATATGGAATTACTTTCCTCCTAACAACCCCCACCCCTCCAAGATATATTTATATTTGTTTGTTTTATTTATTGTATTATTTACATTGTGTTGGTTATGCATACATTTACATACATTTATGTTTTTATTTTGTATGTTTATTATGGACCTGTGTAGGTTTCCTCATGAATTCAAACACAATCTAATTCTCATTGAGACAATTAGTGAATGAAATTGATGAAAGGATGAGTGAATGAAGGAATATGTACATACAGTATGGTAGACTTCAGCAGGTAAAAACAGTTCCCTCCTTGGGAAGTTCCCTCTCTTTGTTGTTTTTCTGAGCGATGCCTCCTCTCAGACATTGTGGACATCAAGCCAGCCAACATGGAGGATCTGACAGAGGTGATCACAGCGGCTGAGTTTCACCCCCACCATTGTAACTTGTTTGTCTATAGCAGCAGCAAAGGCACCCTGCGCCTCTGTGACATGAGAGAAGCAGCGCTGTGCGACAAACACTCCAAATGTGAGTAAACCTGCTGAGAGCTGGGACGGAGACACACACATTTAGGTTTTTTGACGGGTCAAAATGTCAGATAGCACTGGATATTTTAGCCTATTAACTACAAAATCAGAGGAAGTTAATTTTGCTGCTGAACATGTTTCAAAGCATTTTAGATACAGTATTATCTTAAGTTTCTAAATAAACAGTCCACAGTTTTAGTTATTTACAGCATGTTTTTAGCTGTGCTAACAGCATGGCTCCAGGATGGCAGTGTCAGTCAGTTGGTCCCGCACTTCCGCCCAGACTAAAATATCTCTTCAGCTATTGGATGCATGCAATTTTGTACAGACATTCATGGTTCTCGGGTGATGAATTCTAATAACTTTGGCAATCCCCTGATGTTTCCTTTAGCGCCAACAATGAAGTTCACTTGCAGAGACTTGCTTAAGATACCAACTCTTCCACAGTGCTTTATTATGTATTATGTGTGGTTATGTAGTAAAGAGAGGGACTGTTTTCCTTGTGGTGCATTCCACCAGGCATATTCAGTTTATAGGTAAGTAACTGAAAATCTGCAAAACCTCAGGTTTTGTTAATGTATTGGAAAGTAAATAATCTAAAATCAAAAGAGTAAGTAAGGATTTTTTTCACCATTAAATACTATTTCTTTCCACTGCAGGTCCATTATTTAATGTATATAAACTAGAAATAGTTTTACAGCTCTAATCAGTATGAGTGAGTAGTACATTGCACTCTGCAAATTGTGTTCAGTGGAGCAACTCAAGTGGCAAGGGATTTAATTATTTTGGGGTATATTCAATGAGAAATGCCAGTATTTAACAGGTTTCTTTCATTGTATTGTTCTTTTTAGAATACCTTTGTTGATTGTTCTCTTTATAGTGAGCTGATATACACAGACAGCAACACCTGTCCATAAACATCTGTCATCTGTATGGTGTCTCTGCCTCGTTGACTACAGTCAACATCTAGACTCTGAGAGATTTCACTATCTGTGAACATGAAATAAGACACACACACATACCCCCTTCATGTGACACAACTGTGTTTCTGCCTGTCATCTGGCTTAACTCACCCTGCTGTCACTCACTCTCTCCCTTATTCTGTCCCACCCTCTACAGTGTTCGAGGAGCCCGAGGACCCCAGCGCCCGCTCCTTCTTCTCTGAGATCATCTCTTCGGTGTCGGACGTCAAGTTCAGCCACAGCGGCCGCTACCTGCTTACCAGAGACTACCTGACTGCCAAAGTCTGGGACCTCAACATGGAGAGCAAGCCCCTGGAGACGTACCAGGTGTGTAACTGACCACCTGTGAAAAGCCTGAGGGAGTGTTAGATTACAAAAAAAACACAATATTTCCTCTGTCATCTCCTAGAGGGTTGGGATCACTGCAAATGATACCACTATAGTGATATCGAATGATCATCACTTTTCTACAACTTTACTGTCACTGTATACTGGTATTCCAATAACTACTCTCTTGGCAAACCACAAATGCACCAGTGTTCGAGGAGAAAATATAGACAATAGCCTTTATAATCCGGCTGTTCTCATTATTACTCTTCTCATACCGTCATACCACCATCACATGCTGTTGCATAATTTTATTTAAATACATAAACCAAGATAATGCATCACAATTACATAAAAATACACCCACATCACTAAAAAACAAACCAATGATACACGGGCAAACAAACACAAAGACACAGACACTGTTGCTGAGGAATAAGCAATAACATTTCTTTTTGTTCTCTCTTGAAAGCCATTAAGGACATATTTTTCAGTTTTTCTATAATGTACCTGGATTACAAATAATTTATCCATCTGTCTGTTATCTGTTATGTTATTTATTCAATACAACACAAACATAATTGACTTAAGTTTTAGGACTGATTAAATTAATTTTGTTCCCTTGATATGTATCATAAATGTATTTCATATTCCTTTTATAATTCTAATTTTTTCACTTTTTTAATACCATAATCTCCTAATGAATGAATTAAACCAGTTCTTAAATAATATTTGGACTCGACATTTGCTAAGGATCATTGACATAACACCCTAACTGAATGTATTTGTCTGTATTTGATTCGGTCCAGGTACATTTGATAAATCACACGATAAACTTAAAATTAGGGCACCTTTGAATACAAATGCTTAGACCCTTAGACTCAGATATAGTTCAGTATTTTTTCCCCATAAAAGTTTTATCATGGAGCAGTCCCACAAAGCATGAAGGAGAGTGGCTTCTTTTCACTTACACCTCCAACACCTGCTGTCATCAGCTAGTCTTGCTTATGTGTTATGTTTTTGTTCATGTTCGCCTCTGGGAGATTTTCTGTTGGACTCTCCACCATCATCTAAACACAGAATGAGGGGAAATATATGGTTTCATTGTGTTCATCCCTCCACTAGAGTTCAGAGACTTGATCTTGTGGCTTGCGTAGGGCCCAAATACACTCTAGTATGACGTTTCCTTTAATTTGCCACCCTTTGGCATCTATGAATTCAATACAAGATTGTTCAGGTGTTTGTTATGTTGGGGTGTTGCTGCTCAGATTCTTTGTGCAGAGCTTCTTCTCCCAAATCAAACAGTACAGAAGAACCGTTTTGTATTAAATGTTCTCTTGCTTGACATAAGTTTGTGAGACTGAAATCATTGTTGCTTTGTCTAAACTGCTGGGTGACCAGCAGAAAGGGGGCATTGTCATCCTGCAAATATTCATGATTGGAGACAGAAATTAATCATGGGAAGATGGCTATCTCTCAGAATCACAGTACTTACTGAGGATTAGATTTTTCCCAAACCTTTTAAGGATAATTGGATTGATTACTTGCCAGAGACTGCACTTCTTCTCGTCAGTCCAGAAACTCAATGTGGCCTAAGTTTTTAACTGTAATCTGTAGATGCAGCGCTGTGTGCGTTTGGCAGATGAATACGGGCATCAGATAAACACAAACATTAAATTATCAATATGCCCTGTATGTGGTATTGAGATTAAATGGGCTTGGCATGCTGTTGAAAATGCACACATGAAACTAAGTACTAAGCTCATAAAAATAGATTTATTTCTATTTTTGCATGCTGTCTTTCACACGTCCACTCTCAATTTGTCTCTTCTAAGAAGTGTCACTTCTAAGTATTAGGTAGGCTACACCAGTTTATGTTTATACCTTTTTATATACAGTCTATGGTTTATATGCAGTAAAAGTATTTATCAGCTGTTTTTTCAGTGTGTTTTTAGTATTCCTGCTGCGGGCGTGTGGTTAAACGTGTGTGTGTGTGTGTGTTTGTGTGTCTGCCTGACGTGTGAGGACTCATGAGGCAGCCAGGAGTGGGAGGCCAAGACGCACTGGAGCTATTTATAGTCTCCACTCATAAAGTGAAACTGGAAGGAGGGATACCTTACACAGCGCCCGACACCTAGATCTGCAATGCAGCACAGAGAGGGAGGATGAGGGAGGAGGGAGGGAGTAGAGGGGTGAGGGTTTGGGAGGGTGTGTTGACGATGGTTTGGTGAGAGGAGGAGAGAAGAATGAGGGGAGAGTTTGTAACTGAGAGGATGAGAAAGAGGGATGGGTGAGGTTGAGTGGAGTAAACTGAGTAAAACAGAAGGGAGAGAAAGGATTTCAGCACTAAACTGCTCTTATTTTAGTAAATTTACACTCTTATTCCTCCTGGAACATGAAAAATCTGCACAAATGCATGAGGGATGACACACTGTACTCTAAAATCAGAGATCATGCAGACTGAAAAAAAAAAAAAAAGACTAGATTCAACTTAGCTGACATTGTATCATTTCACTCTGAGCAGAAAGACCCACAGGGGAAAACCAAAATGTCACTGGGTTTGATGTACAACCATGAGCCGACCTCAGCTTGACCGTTTATTGATTGCGAGGTGACTGTTGACTGCTGACTTTATGCAGAATGTGAAAATAGAGGGCTGAGTGGGCTTAATGCAGAGCGCGGCGGCTAGAGGAAGGTGTAGATTTCAACCCTTTGCATCACCGAGCGGACACAGTGCCGACACAGGCAGGTTGGATGAAAGCACAAGGGGAAAGAGTTATTAGTCAGTGAATGTGTGTGTGAGTGTGTGTTTTCACATGTGTGTCCCTGTTATCATGCCCTTGGTGGGTTTTGAGGTTAAGGAGTTTAGATTAAAATGTACTCCAGGCCTCGTATTGCTGAGGGCTGGTGTTGTATCTTATTAGAGTTGCCTTCAGGGAGGTTTGTTACAACTTGCCCACATTTAAAGTGTTTTGTCTGATCTGAGCTTTGTATGTGTGTGTACGTGTCTCCTGCTCACCACTTTTTATTTATGGTTTATATACAGAGTTGATACCTGGGACTGAAGCAACTGTGTGCTGGATTCATTTTTAATCATATTTCCGTGTGTGTTCCTCCAGGTTCATGATTACCTCCGCAGCAAGTTGTGCTCCCTTTACGAAAACGACTGCATCTTCGACAAGTTTGAGTGTGCCTGGAACGGCTCGGACAGGTACCTGAAGTCTCTGGATGTGTTTTGTTTCTATCCTTTCCTTTTGTGATCAACTTTTTATTCGTTGCGACCCCCCCACTCCATCCCATACCCTTGGGTCTCCATCCCATACCCTTGGGTCTCCATCCCATACCCTTGGGTCTCCATCCCATACCCTTGGGTCTCCATATAGTATTTACAAGACACAAAAATACAAATGGTGATCTTCTATCTCTTGCTGAAGTAGTACCAGCTACAGCACTCTTGCCACTGATCCATATTATTTATATCAATGTATGTGAGTTAATCCATTGAGCTTTTTCTATCTGTATATGTGGAGGTTTCCAATGTAAAGCTGGCATCTTTATGGCAGCAGTAAGTTAAGTTAGGAGAGCACATCTATTCAAAGATGTTAATTTTAATGAGGCAGTATCATTTAGAGGTGGGGGAAGCGATGAAAACAGGCTCTAGGTATGCTCTGTAAATGTGTAAATGGCAAACAATCAAAGTAGCCCGCACCCCACCACACAACATATTCCAGCTTTTCCAGCAATTATTTGTGTGCCATGTAACGTTTAATGACCTGCTCACACAGACATTCAGCTCACTTTGTACTTTACCAAGACATGCTGTTGTGATGATGTTAGCTATAGTAGCAGGAGAGTTGTGAGTATCGCTGTCTGGAGCTGGTGAACTGGCTCTAGGACTGTCTCGTCCTCTCTGCATGTTAGCTTTACGGCAGCAGCTGTAGTGACAGTACGCTAACCCACAACTTAGCTAACGTTAGTTACATTACTTGCTGTGTTGTTTGATCTATATCATGGTATTGGATTTCACCAATATCGCTTACTCCACCTTTAGGATTAGCACAGTGGGAGAGCACAGCACATCGACATCCAGTACATCAGATCAGAGAGTAGCTCAAACCTCACCCCAAAAAAGCATTCCCAATACAAATATTATACTACATTTATTTAACAGCCATACTAGAATTTGTATTAATATTTTACATGCAAAAACATATAATTGCCTTTGATAAATAATGAAATATTATGCATTATTACAGGTTAAAATACTAACCCTAACCTTATAGTACATACAGCAGTTGGGGCATAAATAGTACTTTACTTTATATACTTTAAGTACATTTTGAATTTTACTTAAGTAGAATTTTGAATGCAGCACTGCAGCGATTCTGCTACTTTTATATCAAGTAAAGGATCTGAATTCTTCTTCCACCATTGATGCGAGCGAGTGAATCTTGAATATGAAATAATCTGCATGTCCAGATACCACAATGGCTAAGAACGTGCAAAACTGAAGAATATCATGAATCTTGTAGAGATCTTGTTGTGTTCTACCAAACGGCTCAGACAGTCTTGTATCCCAAAAGCAGATTAATATTTTTGTTTATTTTAAGGTTAACATGTAGTCCTATTTGTAGCAACCCATCAGGTCTAATCAAGATTCAGAAGGCTTTATTGGGTATATTGTTTTTATTTTTTGTCCTGTGTACACTTACTGGTTGTCTTCTGTTTATGTTGTCAGTGTGATCTGGTGGCAATTGAGTTTCCCCATTGGGGAATAATAAAGCTTTCTAATCTAATCTAATAAATGTTTTTGTAATTTGGAGGAAGTGACCTTTTAAGTTTAGGCATGTAGTTGGGGGTTAAGGCTAGTTTAGGAATTTGATAGTCATCCTCTATATCTCACCAGTTTAACACTAAGAGAGACAAGAGGATGAAAGTTTCCAGACTGGAGTAACTATCCTTAATCGCCTCTTCCTCTTGTCAGTGTGATCATGACCGGAGCCTACAACAACTTTTTCCGCATGTTCGACCGGAACACCAAACGCGACGTGACCCTGGAGGCGTCAAGAGAGAGCAGCAAACCCCGCGCTGTCCTGAAGCCGCGGAGGGTCTGTGCCGCCGGAGGAAAGCGCCGGAAGGACGACATCAGCGTGGACAGCCTGGACTTCACCAAGAAGATCCTCCATACAGCCTGGCACCCGACTGAAAACATCATCGCCATCGCCGCCACCAACAATCTGTACATCTTCCAGGACAAACTCAACTCTGAGATGCATTAATGAACAGATGTCAGCGGTGGACTCAAATGAGTTTACACCTGAACACACAGCTATGCCAGAATGTACACATTTATGGACATAACGCGCACAGGAATATGCCTAACACACCTCCCCGCACACACACACACACGTCAGAAAACATACACACATCTAGGTCTACTCTTTGACACACTCCCCTCACCTCCTCTTCAGCCTCCCAGAACTGAAAGGACCTAGAAAGGGCTAGAAAGGAACAGGCTGGATTACGAAATGGATTATGGATTGCAAAATTGTCTGAACTGTGGATCTCTTGTTGATTGTTAACCTCTGGATTGTGCTGGTTGGTGAGTTGATTGCTATCAGCTTCTGAGGGGGGATAACCCAACCCACCCTCAGACTGAAGAGATGTTTACATGTTTGTCTTTTTTGGTTCTTCAGGCTCTTTTGCTTTTTCCTCCTCCTCCTCTTCTCCTTTCTGTATTTGTGTGCTCGAGCAAAGCCTATTCTTATCCCTTGCCTTCTGTTTGGTGTAACAAAAACCCTTCATGGTTGTTTACTAGTGGCACTGATGAAAAATTGGGGCATTTCTGTAATTGGCTGCTTGTTTGATTTCAGATCAGCTACCCCACTTCCGTTTTTGTAACTTCTTGTTAAATGATTTTAATGATGGTAATTATGATGACAGTGACAATTTAAAATGATGTGTGATGTGCAAGGATGAACTCGGGACCCTCCCCTTAAGTGCACCCAGACGCCTCTGAGCTCAACTGGACTGTGTTCAGTGAGGTAAAACATTTACAGTCCTGCAGATAGAAGCAGAAGTTAATAGGTTATTACACCGTGGCCTAAAATGAGGACACACTCTCATATGTGCTCCACACACTGTGTTTTAGTCATTAATGTTTTCTCTGCTGGAACAGGCCCTTCAACTTCTCATATTGTGGATTCTGCTTCTGGTCTTGGGGCTGCGTCGTGTGCTACTTCGCCGTTCAAAACAAGTCAAATCAACCAAAAAGAAAAAAAAGGAACTACATAATTTCAACAATCAAGCAAAAAGATGCTGCATGTCAAACCAATTTAGCCTAGGTGTTTATAAATTGACTGACTTGGCTGCCTTCTTAACCATTTAGACCCAGCTGTACAAAGGCTTCAGGGGCCCCCGGGGGCCCTATGCAGCACGAGTAACCATAGAAGACCGAGCTCTCCTACCTTTATTTGTGTCTTTGGACACTGAAGCATGTTTACCAGTGTTCGGTTCATACACTTACATGTACATTTTGAATGAAGCCGTCCAAGAATCAGTTTCTACTCAACTGAAACTGAGAACCAAGAAGTATGGGGAATGTTTCCATTAATGTTGTTCTCTAAAAGAAAAAAGGAAAAAAAAATCAAAGGGCCTAAATGGTGTCTGTATATATCAATTCTGTTGACATGTATGAGTTTGTTTTTTTTTATCATTCATAAACGGACACGATCTTCTGTATTGATGATTGCTTCCAAAGCTACATCAGAGAGATGGTACTTCAATCTCTTCAGCCTTCCTCACCGATTTATTTTTCTGAAGCATTTATTTTTAGAAAACACTTTTTGTTTTTTGTGGAAACATCTGTCAATTCTACTCCACGTCCCGACCAAACTAATGTTGATTCACATATTTTTGTGTTAATGTATGTTGATGACAAAATTGTAAAATGGACAGTTATAAATAATGTTAATATGTTTTTTTTTCTGAATAAAGATTTCAACGAAATTGCATCCAATGAGCGTACATCTGTGATTTTTATTGCAGTGTAATAATGTTAGACTGATAATAATTGCTAGTGCCATCATGAAAATGTGCACGCTTTATTGCTTATAGGCCTGTAAGGGGTCATCATCAGTCTGTAGTGATGTGGTCTGAGGCACCACCTAATGTCAAAACACACTTATTGCATCTGAAAATAAAAGATTCTGGCAGATTGCAATGCCTCCTAAACCTTTTCTGCCATGCCCCCTTTGGAAGCTGAAAAAATTACGTGTTACTAATTTACTAAGTTAGTAATTTACTAAAATGTCTGTCGGTTTCATTTATTAATTGTTTATCATTTACTTTTGTGCAAATAAAAATGCAGGTTTCTACAAACAAAACATCTCTCTTGCGATACACTGATGGTGAACTAGATGGGCTTTTCGTGTTTTGGGTTTCTTTGTTTGATGAGCATCTGTCTGTCCATCTTGTACTGTATGTGCCATATTGCTGTAAATAAATCTTTCTATCCTGAATTTTGATACAATCTTGTAATATCTGAGCACTCAAATCACATTCAGACTTTTTCAGAGGAGACACTTGTCATAGGAAGAAAAGCACAGATTGGACTCATCACATTAAACCTGCAATAATTAATTACATTTTATAATAAAAATATTGATTGTTGCCCCTTTAAATATACTTCAGTTGCAGCAATTAATGAGATGCAGTGCAGATGTGTGTTTAACTTGTCCAAGTGTTGTGAAAAAGATCCACTCAACTTGAGTTCAGTTCCCTTACGATGGTAAGGGAACTGAACTCTGCGACCCTAACAGCTGCACTCGAGGCTTTTACACCCATTTTTCCTACTGTGACATGTCAAGTCAAAATGTCTGCTGTGAAAAAGGCCAATTGCACTGAAATGGTAATCTTAAACGTATACAGTATGAGCAAAGTAAATAATTAGCAGTTGCTTCTAAAAGGCAGCACTAAGAGCATGCTGCATAAAAGTGTTAAATAAAAAACAACAAGCTAATGTTTTCAATATTTTTATGGGTCACAGTATAGAAACTGGTAGTGACATCCTAACTTAAAACACTTCATCACTTAGGGACAGCAAATATTCAATATATATTAAGTCTCTGCACAGCAGAGATGGAGACAAACAAGGGAGGAGAAAGAAGAAACTAGACACGTGAGAACAGAGAAGGCACAGAAAAACTTCCGATAAACTAAACTGCTCTAATAAATCCACGCAGGTGCAGGTGAGCATTTTCAAGGCTAAGGTTAAGGTGATTGTTTTCTTCCAAATTATTTTTGAATTGAGAGTAAGAGTCTTATAAGGCACTTGAAAATAATTTCCAATACCAAATATTTCAAAATGACATACTGGACATTCATCCATCCGTCCATCGTCAACCGCTTATCCTGCGTACAGGGTCGCGGGGCATACTGGACATATAATGTGTAATATTAAATAATTGCAGCTTGACAGCAAAGGAGAAACTCTTATGAGTTATTATCAGCAGTAACCTTTTGTTAAAAAAAGAAACCTTTTCTTTTATAATTCGTAGGCCGCATACACAACGAGAGTACAGTTCAACAAGGAAACTGTAAAATGTAAATACTGACTATTTTGGCCACAAATATTTGACAAACGTACATAAAAATGGCTGCAGCAGACAGTGTTTTTGAAATCACTTCATTAACAGACTCCCTGTGATGAGAACATGTCTAGCTTAAGTTGGATGAAATGCACAACTGACCACAGTTGAGGATGATAGGTTGTTTTTCTTACTTTAGTGTTAGGCAGTAAATTGCTTGCTCTAAAAACCTATTAATTTGTGTTTCTCCTCTTTATAAAGGTAATTTCATTATAATATGCATTTTCCCACATTTTGGCTCAAAAGCTATAAGAATGCAAACACACTCACTAGAGTTCAGATTTACAACATGACTGACACCACCAATGTCTGAGTATCTGTCCACCCTCTATTAAATAATCACTAATATTGCAAATAGATTCTGTTCAGAACAGAGGTTTATAATCATTAATGTTCTCCAGCTGACGACAGTACTATCATTATACACCTTATTGGACAGGTTTGTTTGCCAGATCGCTCTCCTCTACCCTCCCTCCTGTGTCACAATGTCTGTTTCACTCTCGTCTCTGAGTGTTGCTGTAGCTGAGCGGTCAGGAAGGGGTTGAAGAAGAAGTCAAAACCAAACTGCAGGGCGTGCTGTGCCGTGCGCCTCCAGTCGTGCTCAATCTTATACTGCCTGCGGCTGGGCTCGTGGGCGTTGGCGCACGACATGCAGTGAATGGCTTTCATTTCAAACACAGGCCATTTGGAGCCTAACCGACCCTCCAGTATGGTGCTAAACTCCACCAGGCTTCCTGTATTTAAGTGTAAAAGCACAGACTTAAACTCATTACTAGCCTGCAGGACTATGTCCTTAGTCGCGTCCTCGTCCTCTATGATTGTCCCGTTCTTAGTCTTCCTCTCTAGTGGCATGCCCATCGTGACTTCGAATTTGTATCGATCAAAGCGTTTGATGTGGCATTCATGCTTGGCCAGTTTTTTAAGTTTGCAGAGGGGATCTTCTGGAGGAGGAGCCGGGGCAGGCAGAGGCTGGGACTCGGCTGTGACATTTTTCACGTCCTCACACAAAGGATATGGCTCACCATACAGGCACCGCATCCAGTTCCCCATGACTACAGGCAGCAGGTTGATGACCGAATGAGGCCCGTTCTCAATGTCGGTCACTCGGACGTATTTGAAGCGTCCAGTCCAGGTGACGCGATGTCCTTCGAGATGAGAGCAGAGAATCTGGGTTTGGGCCATGTTGGACTCTTTCCAGGCCAGTGGGCCGCAGAGGTTGCTATACTCAGGCCACGTCAGGGTGGAGTTATAAACCTTCATGCCTTCAGACCTGTAGACGTACATCCAGCAGAAGAGCACCACCGCACTGAGCCACACCAGGATGAGCTTGACGATGCTGCTCCGTGACAAAGACCGAAAAACCACAATGGGGTTGAGGCTGAAGCGGGTCCAAAGCCTCAACACTACTGGCACAAAGCAAATTATCAGTGTGACCACCATCTTGGTCACCTCCAGGGCCAGAAACCACTGCAGTAACTGGATGATGAGCATTGCAGCCAGGCCCAGTGAGAGTATTGGAAGAGCGAACAGAAAGAGGAAGTAGCCAACGCAGGTGCGGATGAGTCCTATTGCAGTGGCGTTGTTAAGGAGCACGAAGCAGAGCTCACACCAGGTGAAGCAAACCAGGTAGGGCACGAGGCACAGGTAGGTGCCCTTGAAGCCTCTCAGCTGGGCCATACAGAAGAGGAGATAGAAAAGGTGTCCATATAGCAGACATGGCATCCCCAGGTTAAACGCTACGACGTCCCCGAGAGGCACAGTGATGAACGTCATCCCAAAGGCCCTGAGGAACCAGAAGGAGTCTGGCAGGAGGCGTGTGAGGGAGCATGCTCCAGAGAAGACCTCGGTGAGGAGGGCTCTACGAGCGAAGAGCTCAGCAGAGGCATGAAGGCTGAGGAAGGCGGTGACAGTGAAAAAGAGAGCAACAGCAGCCAGCTCTGAGCAGGGGATCCAGGACTTATCAGCAACAGGGAAGGAGAAAACCACAAAGACCACCGAGAGCAGGAAGTACCTGAGAACACAAGCAGACAGATGTATTCGTTTTTCTGGATTTCATTCACCCTCTTTAATGTTACTGTTTATTTTGAGAATAATACCTCACCACTGCTCATTTTCATTTTCTATATATATATATATATATATAAACAATAGATCAATAAAAAAAACTTTGAGTGATTTGAGCCTGTGGGGAAGTTGAGCCACCCCTTGCTTCTGGAGCAACCATAGACAAAATTGGTCATGTGACCACACATTTTTGAAGAGTCATTCATTTTACTCACCCTGTGATGGAGAGAGGCCCATGGAATAAGTGATAAGCACATTTAAGTTAAAGAAAATTTATGTTCAAGGAGTCCTGATTCTTGTGTCTGAACAATTGCAGACAGGTTTGAGAAAATCTTACGCATGTGTTAGTGCTTTAGAAAGTTACAATATGAGGCTATACTGTTAGCATGACATTAATCTTAATTTTGTTAAAATGACAGGGATGGGGTAATTTGAGCCAAAAGACCTGGGGGAAGCTGAGCCACCTATTTGACGGTAATTTTACAGTGCATTCTTATGCATCACCGAAATGATATGACATTATGCACTTGAGACCAGAAACCAGATCATGTCATGCTTCTATAAATACAAGACAGCCAGGATTCAACTCCAATTGTGGGTTTGGAGTAGTGGGTGAGGTTCAAAAATGGGAAGTCAATTAATCAGGTGGCACGGGACATGACGATCAATAGGATGGCTTTAAAGCGATACATTGATATGAAACAACCAGGAGACATAGCTGCAATGTTTCACTAAGTGCAATTGAATGTTGGGACCTGGCGTTTGAGTTTGCATGATGAAATGACATTGATATCCCCGCCCCCCATGTGGCTCAACTTATCCTCTCCCCATGTGTACCCTCTCCCTGACAGCCGTTTTTGCCTTGAACATCGTGCTAAATGCACACTACCATATCACTTACGTTTTTACCATTGCAGGTTTCACTGTGATTGTGATTAAAGCCTAGAGTTTTATTTTTGATTTGTCCAATGCAGTTTTCAGCCATGGAATCATCGCTAACCGGGAACCCAGCCACCCCAAAACTCAGCCCCTCATCTCCTCACAAAGAGTTCACTTTGTTTTGGAAAGCCATATTTTGAAAACAGTTTATTTTAGGTCCAAATTGATTATTCCCAGGGATAGACCACATCCTAAAATATATGTACATATTTTAGTTGGAGACATTACTGTCATGTCCTCACTTTAAAGACACCTCAAGTAAAAACTGGCTAAACTCACACCGCTCTCCCCTCTTAATGCCAGCAATATTAAAACAATTTTTAAAGCTCTGCCTGAACTTGACAAAAACTGCATGATTGTAT